TCAGCCGACACGGACATCAATCATTCGTTCCCGCTGCCTGGAACACTGACCATAGGTGATCGTGTGTAGTAGGGCATGTCGAATGTGCCAGCGGCCCTTTTTGTTTATATTCAGCACAGCACTACTATGCATTATTTCGTTGTACATTATTGCATCTGCACCATAAAAAGGATGGACGGATCATCGCTCTGGATCTGGGTAAACCTCCAACACTAAGATCCATGGATGCATGTTGCAGATGTGTGAGACACTCTTATTGGATACCCCGAACCAGGATCTCGGTACCAATTCCAACCCCTGCTGCATGATAAGGTCGTGTCTTTTTTTTTCCATCGCTATACATTAAACAGTAGTTCCCCGCCGTGATTCACTCCAGACCACGTTCTCGCCATCAATTCCAATCGACCTGGCTCATCAGCCAAGCGTATGCGATGGAGAACAAGGTAGGCTACCAAAAGTCGCCTACAGAGCGCGAGGATGACATCGACGAGAGGCGGTCGACATCGCCAACTACCAGCGACGACTACGGCAATGGACTGCGACTAGGCGGCACGGGCCAGGACTGGCGTGATATGCAGCGACTTGGCAAGAAACAGCAGTTCAAGCGCAACTTCTCACTGTGGTCGGCCTTGGGTTTTGTCGCCATCTACATGGCAACCTGGGAGTTTGTCCTCGTCTCGCTGTCCGTCGGCTTCACGAATGGCGGGTTCGCTGGGCTCTTTTGGTGCTTCATCACCACCACCGCCGCCTATTCCACCGTCGTCTTCTCCCTCGCCGAGATGGCGTCTATGGCGCCGACGTCGGGAGGGCAGTACCACTGGGTCTCCGAATTTTCGCCTCCGTCGTACCAGAAGGTGCTTTCGTACGCGTCTGGATGGATGACAACGCTGGGATGGCTTGCCAGTCTCGCCAGTAGTGTCTACGTCCTCGCCTACCAGGTCCAAGCCTGTATCAACGCCACGAACCCAGACTACGCCTTCACCAGCTGGCAGATCACCCTCCTCATGTGGGCCATTCTCTTCCTCACTGTCATGTTCAACACCTACGGAACGCCATTTTTCCCGCAGCTCGAGACTGCGAGTCTGATCGGTCACATTGTTGGCTTCTTCGTCGTCATGATTCCGTTGTGGGTGCTGTGCGACAAGAACTCTGCCCGAGACGTCTTCCTGACGTTTCAGGACCAGAGCGGATGGGAGAACATGGGCGCTGCGTACTTGACGAGTCAGATTTACATCATGTGGTGCTGCTTCGGCTCCGATAGTGTTGTACACATCGCTGAGGAGGTAGAGAACGCATCGATCGTTGTGCCGAGAGCCATGGTATGGTCATATCTTGGCAACGTGTTCTTTGGGTTCATCATGCTCATCACAATGCTGTTCTGCATCGGGCCTATCGAGGATGTCGTAAGTTTCTCCCCTGACTCTCGTGCGTCAGGTCGTACTGCAGGCAATACTAAACGTATCCCCAGATCGAATCCGATTGGCCCTTCATTGTTCTCTTCGACAGGACGGGCTCGAGCGGTCTGAACCTGTTCTTCAACATTCTGCTCTGGGTGCTGATCTACCTCGGCAACATCACCGCTCTGGCGACTTGTGCTCGCGAGACGTGGGCTTTTGCCCGAGACAAGGGTCTTCCCTTTTCCGGCTTCATCGGACACATGTAAGATTCTCCGATCGCCGCCAGAGACTAGTATGCCTTTCGCCGTTCCATCGCTGACATGGCTTGAACAGGGACAACAAGTGGAAGATTCCCTTCAACTCCGTGTACGTCATCTCCGGCGTCTGCGTTCTCCTGAGCCTCATCCAAATCGGCTCCGACGCCGCCTTCAATATCCTCGTCTCCCTGTCTACCCTCGGCCTCATGAGCACCTACATGCTCAGCATCGGCTGCGTCCTCCTCAAGCGCATCAAACACGAGCCCCTCCCCCCGGCACGCTGGAGCCTTGGACGCTACGGCCTAGCCATCAACGGCTTTGCTTTCCTTTACAGCGGCTTCATCATTGTCTTCTGTTGCTTCCCTCTGTCTCTGCCCGTGGGCGTAGCCGACGCGAATTGGGCGCCTCTCATCTGGGCAGCCGTCATCGCTCTTGCCACCGTCATGTACTTTGTGCAGGGGAGGAAGACGTATACTGCGCCTGTTGATTTTGTGGAGGGCAGGAAGGCGGAGGGAGTAGAGCTACAACAGTCTACTTGAAACTGGGCGTGAGGGGGTGCTTATTAGAGATGTCTCCGTAGCTTGTAGCGTGGCAATTGGCCTTATTGATTTTTTACCATGCTGACACGTGGTGGAGACCGTGACGGCGTTCTTGGAGATTGAACGCAACCCCGCGCGAAAAATTAGGACGACAACGGGAACCTCATTCAGTCGGGGTCAGATCAGTAACCATGGAAATCGCAGGCAAAGATGGCTTCATCATGCCTTGCTCACAGACGAGGGAACATCCCCCGAGGGCTATATAATTGGAGGGCCCAGGGGCAAAGAAGAAGGGACGGTAAGAGGCCATGTATGTCGAGGCCGGAGACAAGCCGTCACGACCGCACGGCAGGTGGGAAGGGACCCTCATGCCAATGATACGTGTCAGCAACCTGCAAGACCAGTTGTGGCGATGCTGAGCCTTCATGTTGGGGCGTCACTGGCTTGCGAATGGATTGCTGTGATTGACGATGTCGTTGAATGACGACGAAATCTATCGCAATTCAACATAGGCAACTCTGGACGGAAATGACATGAGAGATTGTTCAAGGTTGAGGTGGACGCGTGCGTCGCTCGATATTCGATGTCAGGCCTCGGTGAGAAGATGGTCTAGGCTCGGTGACGATAGATAGTACCTGGTCTGATAAGAAACGACAATGAGTGGGGCAGCGATACCGGTCACAAATTCCAGCTCCCAGGTGCCGACTCACAGCTTCGACTCATCTATCTTGCCCATCCAACACTCACCCAATTGGTACCAGAAGACGCCAATTCACGCCAGTTTTGCTCTCAGGCGTGCCCGGAGCACCCCTCAAGCGATCATGGCCGCCTCATTCAAGGCACTGCCTCAGCAATTGACCCTGACCCGCTCCTTCGCCCGCTACTACTCCGTCTCCGCCGAGAGCATCCCGGCGGCCAAGAAGAAGTATGTGCCCACCGAGGGCAGCTACCCGCAGGGGTTCCAGGCGAGCGGCATCCTCGTGGGCGTCAAGCCGGGCAACAAGACCAAGCCCGACCTCGCCTTCCTGACCTCGGACCGCCCGTGCGCCGCCGCCGCCGTCTTCACGAAGAACAAGTTCCAGGCGGCGCCCGTGACGTTCAGCCGCGACCTCCTCAAGCGTCGCGGCAACCGCGGCATCCGCGGCGTGCTCATCAACTCGGGGTGCGCCAACGCCGTGACGGGCAAGGGCGGTCTCGAGGACGCGTCGCTCATGGCCAAGGCGGCGGACGAGCAGCTCGGCGGCGAGGACGGCGCGGGCTCGTCGACCATTGTCATGAGCACGGGCGTCATCGGGCAGAGGCTGCCGATCGACAAGATTGTGGGCAACGTCGGGGCAGCACACGGGGCGCTGGGCTCGGGGCACAAGGACTGGCTCGCGTGCGCGACGGCCATCTGCACGACGGACACGTTCCCGAAGCTCATGTCGAGGACCTTTTCGCTGCCGTCGTCGCCGGGCGTCGAGTACAGGATGGCGGGCATGACCAAGGGCGCCGGTATGATCCACCCCAACATGGCCACGCTGCTGGGCGTCGTGGCGACCGACGCGCCCATCGCGCCGGGCGTCATGCCGTCGGTGCTCAAGCACGCCGTCGACAGGTCGTTCAACAGCATCACGATTGACGGCGACACGTCGACCAACGACACGGTGGCGCTGCTCGCCAACGGTGCCGCCGGCGGCCAGGAGATCAGCTCTGTCGACTCGCCCGACTATGCGGCCTTCCAGACTGTGCTGTCTGATTTCTCTGCCGATCTCGCCAAGCTCATTGTCCGCGACGGCGAGGGTGCCACCAAGTTTGTCACCATCCGTGTCGTTGACTCGGCGAGCGAGGAGGCGGCACGCAAGGTGGCCAGCACGATCGCGCGGTCGCCTCTTGTCAAGACGGCACTGTACGGGCGCGATGCCAACTGGGGCCGCATTCTGTGCGCCACGGGCTACGCTCTCATCTCGGAGCCGGGCCAGGACATCAACGAGGTGGCCTCGATTGTGTCGGAGAAGACGAATGTATCGTTCGTGCCTACAGATGGCAGCGCTGAGCTGAAGCTGCTGGTCAACGGCGAGCCGGAGACGGTGGACGAGGCCCGCGCCTCGGAGATTCTGGAGCTCGAGGACCTGGAGATCCTGGTCAAGCTGGGGACGGGCGATAAGCAGGCAACGTATTGGACATGCGACTACAGCCACGAGTACATCACCATCAACGGCGACTACCGAACCTAGAGGGGGCACCCTGGAGTTCTGGAGGGGAGATTGTTCGTATGAAGTGGTTCGATGGTTGTATTTGGTAGCACTACTTGGTTTTCCAGCCTATAGACTGTTCATGGCCTGTTGGATGTACCTTGTCTTGATCCTCTGCTGATTGGGCTGTGACTTCGGGATATAATTCCAGGACCCTCACCCATTGGTCGAACCCCCCCCCCCCCCCCCCCCCCCCACCTTGCCCCCCTTCGCAGCGGCGTTCGAGGTTCGAGGCTAGTACAGTCAGCAGCCGAGGCCCAGAGGCGGGGGAATGGCACCACCCCCTGGACCTTCTGCAGGCTACAGGCGGCAAACCCCAGACAAAGCTGTTCTTAGCGGCCAGATCCCCGCCCCAGCCCGCCTCGGCCGGGGGTCTCATCTCCAATTCGAACCTCGGCTGCCGACCTCTACTTCATCTACCGTGTCCCACTCGCTGCCTCTGCATCTCCATTCTGAGAGCTTTCATCAACATTCGCGACGGGAACCATCCAAATTCACGACCTGAAGGACCCAGTCTCAACTCCACAACACTCTCTACCCCTCCCACCAGAAGCCAAGCAGCACCCTTTCACAATGACGTCCAAAGTCCCTGCGATTGTGAGCATCGCCCCTCCCTCCACTGCAGGAATCGCATGATGTCAGACCTCCTGCTCACACCACGGCCTAGGTTCTCAATCGCCTCAGCGAGCGGGCCAAGGAGACCCTTGACAAGGTCGCCAAGTTCGTCGAGGAGGACTGCATCCCGTAGGATCCCCGTTGCCTGCCTTCGCCAGAGAGCGAAGTGTATTGTGTGTGTGTGTGTATGTGCTGAGCTGACCGGTGGAATAGCGCCGACCCCGTTCTCGAGGCACAGATTGGCGAGGGCGACGACCGCTGGAAGAGCCACCCTTCCATCGTCGAGGACCTCAAGGCCAAGGCCCAGAAGCTCGGCCTCTGGAACATGTTCCTCCCCAAGGGCCACTACAAGGAGTCGCCCGGCTTCACCAACCTCGAGTACGGCCTCATGGCTGAGTGGCTCGGCCGCTCCCGCGTCGCCTCCGAGGCTGTCAACTGCGCTGCCCCCGACACGGGCAACATGGAGGTTCTCGCCAAGTACGGTAACGAGGCGCAGAAGGCCCAGTGGCTGAAGCCTCTGATGGACGGCAAGATTCGATCTGGCTTCCTCATGACGGAGCCCGACGTCGCTTCGTCTGACGCGACGAACATCCAGCTGAGCATCCGTAAGGAGGGCAACGAATACGTTCTGAACGGCTCCGTAAGCACTGTGACGCACCGAACGAGCAAATAGTGCCCACCCCCCTCTAACGTTTCCTAGAAATGGTGGTCCAGCGGTGCTGGTGACCCCAGGTGTTCCATCTACATCGTCATGGGCAAGAGCGACCCCAACAACAAGGACCCCTACAGGCAGCAGTCCGTCGTGCTTGTGCCCGCCGATACCAAGGGCATCACCATTCACCGCATGCTCAAGGTTTACGGCTACGATGACGCCCCCCACGGCCACGGCCACATCACCTTCAAGGACGTCCGTGTCCCCGTCAGCAACCTCGTTCTCGGCGAGGGCCGCGGTTTCGAGATCATCCAGGGTCGTCTTGGACCCGGCCGCATCCACCACGCCATGCGCACCATTGGCGCTGTAAGTTCCCTGCCTTCCCTTGCATTTGGCGGATCATGTTCAGGAGATGTGGCTGACCAGATCAGGCCGAGAATGCGCTCGACTGGATGCTCATGCGCATCAACGACCCCTCCAAGAAGCCTTTCGGCCAGCAGCTCGCCGAGCAGGGCGTCATCCTCGAGTGGGTCGCCAAGTCGCGTCTCGAAATCGACGCGGCACGTCTCGTGGTCCTCAACGCGGCCATCAAGATGGACGAGCTCGGCCCCAAGAAGGCCCTCAAGGAGATTGCCGAGGCCAAGGTGCTCGTGCCGCAGACGGCGCTGACAGTCATTGACCGCGCCATCCAGACGTTCGGCGGCGCCGGCGTCTGCCAGGACACGCCGCTGGCGGCGTCGTGGGCGGGCATCAGGACACTGCGGTTGGCGGACGGACCGGACGAGGTGCACCTCAGGCAGATGGGCAAGAACGAGAACAAGAGGGGCAAGGAGGTGACGGACAAGATCAAGGGACAGCAGGCTAAGACGCAGGCGTTGCTGAGCCAGTACAAGGTCCAGATCGCGCAGCCGGGGACCAAGATCAACAAGTCGAGGTTGTAAACGGTTGTGACTCAGGCAGCGCGGGGCCCTCTAGGTTTCACTGTATTGTAAGCGATAGGATGCATCATCTGATGGGACATGGATCTGGGGATGGATATTTGGAAAAGAGCTTCTGCCGGTGTGTCCAATGAAGAGAGCTGATTCGACGAGTCGTACTGTGATTTTCGGCGTGAAGACCACGATGCGGCCGGTGTCTGTTGAGTTCTGGAACCATGACCCTGACCAGACCTTGACCCTGAACCCCTGTCTGCCATTCGAGCCTGATGAGTTGTCAATCAGCTAGGGGACCCGAATGCAACCACGGATGGATGGGAGAGAGAAGTTCTAGTCCATGGTTTCGACGCGGGCGGGCGACTGCCTGTCAATTGCAGTGGCCCTAGGGTCCATTCCAGCAAGTTGGGAGGGGCAACGGGGGGCAACGACGCTGCAGCGGGCTGGCCGGGGTCGGGGCCACCTGCTGCATTCCGGGTGGCACTTCAGTCCCTGCCGCCCCCTGCACTTTGGCCCTGCCAGTGCCAGGAGCTCCCCCGTTGCCCCGCCGACCGTGAAACTTGGTGTACTTGGCCTCCCGCCCAGCGAGCTCCCAACCCACCAGGTCGGACCTCCTTCGGTGCACTTTTTCACACCTCCTCGCCCGATATTACACACAATCCTGTCAACGTCATAACACCTCGTCGCAACAAACAGGACATTCAAATAACAGACCTGCTCCTCCGCATTGCGCCTCTGCATCCTTCGCTGTTCACACACATTGCGACCACAACCCTTACCACTTCACACCAGACACTCTTCAACCTCTTCCGCTCGAGTCAGAAAGTCCATCTCCCTTGCTTCCCGTCGCAAGAAACTTTTGTGTGACTACGACACACCCAGTCTTATATCTTTGACGCAAAGAAGAAGAAAAGAAAAAGACCTCAGCCAAAATGTCTTCCAACGTTCTCGCCGCCAAGGACGTCAACGCCCCCTTCGCCATCGCCGACCAGACCGCCGTCAAGGGCGACGTCAAGAGCATGGAGTACCACCGCCAAGTTCTCCAGAACAAGATGGAGCAGGAGAAGTACGTGCCTTCGCCGCCGCGCGACCACCCAGTCCAATGCAAACAGGGACTCGTCCTAACAAGCGACACCCACAGGTCCCAGCAGTACATCTCACCTTCCGACAACATCATGAGCCCCTGCTCCGCCAAGCTCAACGCCCTGCGCAACAAGCAGATTGGCAAGTGAGTATTGACGCTTTCTCCTCAAAACTACACTCTCTTCCGGGCTGTGCTGACACAAGCCGCAGGGTCAAGCCCAAGTCGCTCTTCGCGCAGGCATCGTCTAAGAAGCTCGATGGCGACGCCCTGTTCGGCGCCAAATCTCGATCCATCCCCAAGGTCAACGACTCCTGAGCACACATGTCCCCTCATGCGTGTCTTTTGCGATTGTTTATGACTCGGGTATCGGTTTTGGGAAAGGTCACGACGGTTCGGTTCTGGGGCGATTACTTCCTTGTGTTTTTTTTTTCGTCGTCCCTTAGAGAGGGGATACTTTCTCCGTTTTTTGCCTATCCCTGCGAGAGGGTATTGTCATTGGCGTTCAGGGCTTAGGGGATCATTGGCCTACCAAGGCGTGTTAGGATAGAGAGAAGGATCACGACACGAAACGAACAAACTCTCGAGGGCTTCCTCTCCTTCCTTCCAGAGGAGGCCCTTTTCTCTCAGGCAATGTATTTACGGGCCTTTATTGATTAGCCTGGCTGCCGGCAAGGCGAAGAAGATACAATCATCTCCCTTTCCCTACCACCTACTTCATACCATGTGAACCGCTCTATGCTTTCCATGCGCTCACAATTTCGACAACATCCTCGTCCGCCACCAAGTGACTCAGGCCCACCCGCTGCGGCACATGCCTCGCGCTCGCGCCCCACACGAGCGCGTACTTGAACGTCTCCTTGAGCGTCCTGTGAATCTGGTCGCACACGTCCTCGATGGTGCTGTTGCTCCGCACAATGAGCGCCTCGCCAAAGTCGGGCTCGACGCCCTTACGCTTCGTGTAGATGCGGATGAGCCGCAGCTCGTCCCAGCACCGGTCGACGACGTCCTGGATGCCGAGGTCGAGCTCGCAGCTCATGACGACCGTGTGCGGCTCGCGCGCGAGCTTGTCGAGAAAGTCGAGCGACACCGAGTCGATCTTGTTGTAGACGTAGAGGCACTTGATGTACTTGCGGTGGTCCTTCATGATGACGTCGATGAGGTCGTCGACCGTCGCATTCTCGTCGCGCACGAGCACCTCGCAGTTGAGGATCTTGTAGTCGCGCAGGATGTTGTAAAGCATCTTCTCGTCGAGGCGCTTCGGCGGGTTCTGGAACGTTATCTTCATGCCACCGGCCTGCTTGATCTTGAGGTAGATGTTTCTGCGGCACGCCCAGTCAGCGCCGGTCCAGCACGATGACATAGCCTACCTGGGCGAAAATCGTTAGCGGGCGCCGTGGGGGGTTCACATACGGTGGCTCGCGGTTGAGACGGATGCCGACAGCTTCCAGCTCAGCCTCGAGCAGCGCGCGCTGCTCGGCGCGCTTCGTGGCGTCCAGCACCATGAGGATCATGTCGCTCGTCTTGGCCGCCGAGATGACCTGTCGTCCTCTGCCCTTGCCCTCGGCGGCACCCTCGATGATACCCGGCAGATCGAGCAGTTGGATCTCGGCGCCGCCGTACTCGAGCACGCCAGGAATGGCCGTCAGGGTCGTGAAGGAGTACGCCGCGACCTCGGACCTCGTCTTGGTGACTTTGGATAAGAATGTGGACTTTCCTACAGATGGAAAACCGACGAGTGCGATTCGGGCGTCACCACTTTTGCTGACGTCGAAGCCTGCTCCTCCGCCACCGCCGGCGCCTGGGCCGGGCTCGAGGAGTTGTGCTCGGAGACGGGCAAGTTTACTGGTATTGTCAGCCGAAACTGCCTCTCCTTGGTCGGATGCTGCCGTACCCCTTCAGAAGACCCAGATGATACTCTGCATGTCACTTTCATTACTATGCGATTACATCGTTGGGCATGTCAAAGTAAGCGTACCAGTTGCCTTGTTCTCTGTCCGCAGTTAGCAATCGTCTGTCTTTGGAGTTCCCAGTATCCTATTTTCGAGCATCTCAACAGGGTTGAGATCAGCGGTACCAAGATGTGAAATATTGAGCATGTCACGTCACATATGAGCAGGAGCTTACTCTGTGTTTTCCTCATCTCCTCCTCGATCCTGTTCTCAACATCAGCCCTCGAGCTTCACCGTACTGGTCGACTGTCTCACTCCTTGATCTTCTCCGTAATGTTGACCATATTGTCGGCAGCGAGGTTTCACTCGACTTGTCCGATTCTAATTGTGAGTTTGAAGTCGGAACGTCGTAAGAGTTGACAAAACGTCAACGCTGATATGGCGTCGAGCGATGCCTCGAAGGTCTCCCAGAAGATCGGCCCTCAATTTACAGGCCTGATTGAAAACTCTGCGTCGGATTGGGCGTCTTGAGAAGAAGCTCGAGTGTGATGAGCTTGTCGTTGACATGAAGCGCACAATGATCGACCAGAAGACTTCGTGAGGTTCATCCAAGGCGGGGCACTCACTGGCAGCCCACCCACACTGACGAGGGGCAGCGCGCCCAGACAAAAAGTCCGGATGCGATTTGGGAGAGAGCTTATCTTATCGCGATAAGATTTTCAATGCGGCGCGACCAGCCTCGCCCAAACGTCAGTCCGATCAATCTGCACGCAAGCACGAGCCTCGACATCAGAGCATCGACAATCCCGAGCAACGAGCTCTTTGCACGAACACGTCCGCAAGATCAACTCAACTCCCCGATTTCAAAATGTCAGACGAAGAGGTCGCTGTTGTCCCCGCGCAAGGCGACGACGCGCAAGATGCTACCGAGACGGCCCTGACGACCACGGGCACCGAAGTCGCCGCGCCGGCGGAGCGCAAAGTCAAGAAGATCATCAGGAAGAAGAGGCGTCCGGCGCGTCCTCAGGTCGACCCCTCCTTCATCACGTCCGAGCCGCCGCCGCAGACGGGTACCATCTTCAATATCTGGTACGCTCTGTTCCACTCTCCCTCGTGACCACCGAAGGCGCGTCGCTGACATGCAGTCTCTAGGTACAATAAATGGTCTGGTGGCGACCGCGAGGACAAGTACCTCTCGAAAACGCACGCCAAGGGTCGCTGCAACGTCGCAAAAGATACGGGATACACAAGAGCCGATAAGGTGGTCGGCAGCTTTTTCTGCCTGTTCTTCGCCCGGGGCATCTGCCCCAAGGGCCAGGACTGCGAGTACCTGCACCGGTTGCCTGGCATTCACGACATCTTCAACCCGAACGTCGACTGCTTTGGCCGGGACAAGCATTCCGATTACAGAGACGACATGGGAGGTGTCGGAAGTTTCATGAGGTGAGCATTGTCGAACCTGCGACGTAGCGCAAACTGACATGGGACAGGACGAATCGCACGGTCTATGTTGGCAGGATACACGTCAGCGACGACATTGAAGAGGTTGTTGCCAGGCACTTTGCGGAATGGGGCCAGATTGAGCGCAGTAAGTTTTACTCGCCAAGAACCGGCTCAGCAGTGACTAATTCGACCAGCGCGCGTCCTCAACACCCGCGGCGTCGCCTTCGTCACATACAGCAACGAAGCCAACGCGCAATTCGCAAAGGAGGCTATGGCCCACCAGTCCCTCGACCATGACGAAGTCCTGAACTTGCGCTGGGCGACAGCTGACCCTAACCCCATGGCACAAGCTCGCGAGGCGCGCCGCATCGAGGAGCAGGCCGCTGAGGCTGTGCGCAGGGCGCTCCCGGCTGAGTTCGTCGCCGAGATTGAGGGCAAAGATCCCGAGGCCAGGAAGCGGAGGAAGATCGAGAGCAGCTACGGACTGGAGGGATACGAGGCGCCTGATGAGGTACACTTTGCGCGTGGTGCCAACGCCGTCAACCCGGTCGGCCGACAGGGGTACGAGCTGGAGCAGCAGCAGCAGGCCTTTCTCCTCGAGAATAATGGTGCCGTGCAGGAGCAGCAACAACTGGCTCTGCCGGCACCGGAGCAGCAGCAGGCGGTCGGCATCTTCTCCGGCAGCACCTTGGCTGCTCTGAACTCGGCCAGAATCTCAGTCGCTGCTCAGAAGCCGAAGGCGGCGGCGGCTGCCGGGCCCCTTGTGGGTTATGACAGCGACAGCGATGAGTAGGTGGTTTCCGGTGTACAAGATGTCTAATATAAGCGGCTGTATGATACCCATCTATGTTCTATTCGTGGCAGTGACGTTGTACACGTTGTATCATGACGATGTATAAACACATCCTCAAAAGAGCTGGTCCATCCTCGCACCCTATCTATGTGTTCTAGCTGTTGAAAATTCGCGAATAGAGTAGCTCGTGCCTCCCGATCCACAGGTCCATGATGGGCATCGTCTGCCCCGCCTCCTCCACCGGTGTCGCCCACTCCCTCTCGATAGCCGCGGCGATCATCCTCGGCACGTCACCGCTACCCAGCACCTTTTGTGCCTGGTACGGTCCGAACATGCTCGCGCGCACCGCGGCAGACACGAGCGCCTTGACGTGGCTGAGCATGAAGACGTACGCCGTCTGGTGCAGCGTGAGGCCGACGAGGCTTGCGACTGCGCCAAAGAGAGGGGCGAGATGGGCGTGGGCTGCTGGTGGCAGGTCATTACATGCTCCCGCTGGCGTCTTTGCGGAGGAAGAGGAAGACGATGCGGAGTTGCTGGCTCGTAATAACGCGGCGTAGGGCTTCAGAGCCTCAACAGCATGGTGCGGCAGCGAGGAGGCGAAGCTGCGTTCCCAGATGGACAGCAGGGCGCGACCCTGGGCGATAGAGGCACGACGGCCGACGGTGCAGATGATGGCGGCATCGAGGGTGTCGTCGAGAGTGGCCAGCGCAGAGGGGTCGCGGTACGCGGCAAGGACAAAGGGCAGTGTGGTCGAAGCGTAAGAGGAGATTGACTCGGGCAGGAAGACGCTGAAGGTGGCAGAGTTGCGTGGCGTATGTGCCAGATAAGATTCGAGACCGCTGCTGAAGGCGAAGGAGCCGAGTGGCAGGGCTGAATCGGAGAGCAAGAGAATGTAATGATTTGCTGAGGAGAAAGCGTCTGGTACGGTTGTGAGTCAATGACTTGAGTTGCTCGTGAGCGCTTCACTCACTGAGCGGAATTTCAGAAGGTCGATGAACGAGGGTCGTCTCAATCTTGGCCTTTTGCTGGAGCCGTTGCCTCGCGGCGGCCAGTTTGGCCTCGAGCTCTGCTATCTCATGCTGGGTATCCTCAATGGACTCATCGTGTTCTGAATCCATGGAGCGGTTGCTGGTACAGGGAGTGCCTTATCATGTCCTTGATTGGAGAAGTCATCTTTTGCCGGACTCGGACATCAGATCGAGGGTCTCCGTGTAGAGGAAGCTTTCGGGTGGTGCATTAGCGGCGCGATAGCGGCATGCCCACTAAAAACCGACCAATGTGATGCAAAGGGCCGCCGTAGACGTTCGGGGTCTGTACTCGGCGTCTGGCATCATAGATGAGCCCATCCTGACTTGACATCGACTTTCGCTTCAACCACCTCAATACAAGTCAATTCAGTGTTTGAAACGACGAGAAACGTTCCTTCATTTTGTACACATTGATTTCAGCGTCATCAACACAAACCCCAACATAGTCCTCTCTTCTTGATCATCTCAAGGTCGGCGAATGGTATCCCACCACGCGCCTGGTCACTTGTCACACGACAAACCACCCAGAGCTCCAGCAACCACGCAAAATGCCTTCACACAGCCCATTGCAAACCACCGAGGCCAATGAAGCCGCATGGGAGGCTACGAGGGGCGCAGTCGCTGGCGCTGCGAGATGGGGACTCGTCGCTGCTGTCTTTGGTGGTGCCGCACAGTACTTCTCGCCATTGTACCGAGGCATGACAATTCAGTTCAAGATGTAAGTCAAGAGCCTTCCCCTGAGCCCATGATCCAGGCGATTTAACCTTGCCCAGCTACATTCAAATGTCGGGCATGGTGTTTGGTAGCATGATCGAGGCCGACTCGCGGTTACGAGAGTACGAGGCCCGCATGAGGATGCAGCGGCGCATCCTGAGAGACCGGGCAAAATGGAAGGAACTTGAGGACTCCTATGCGGAGCCAGAGCCCAAAAAGAGCGACAATTGAGGTAGAGAGTCATGTCTAGAAAGGTCAACGATTGAGTCATATCGAAGAGCCACATTATGGACCTGTTTTTGGAAACCTCTGTACAATATCATAACCGTTGATCCCTGGATTTTGGTGTATCACCCTCAACCCCGAGGCCCAGTCCAACGCCGATTCATGCATTTCATCACATCCACTGCCTAGTTCGCCTGTATTGGCGCTCATTTGGTCGCCACCTCGAACCGCTTCGGATCCATGTTGATCTTGCAAAGCCGGACCACGCACCCGCTCAGCTGTAGCAGCGTCTGCACGCCCTCCAACACCTTCATGTGCGTGAAGCCAATCTCCTTGATGAATTCGAGCTTCGAATGCTCGCTCAGCGTTGGGATCGTCTTTGTGACCTTGAACATGGTGCTAATGATGTCGTGGCTTGAGTAGCCTAGGTCCCACAGCTCCCGTAGGATATCCAACGCAGAGTTGACGTTTCCCTCGTAGCAAGCCTTCAGCATCGCCTGCACCTTGACAGGATGCGGGCTGTCCACAATCTTGAAGACGTTGTCTCCACTGACGAAGCCAAAGCCCGAAAAGGTACTCTGCAGGTTGTTGATCGCTTGTCTCATGTCTCCCTCGGCGGAGAATACCAGTGCCGCCAGTCCGTCGTCGCTGTACTGCACACTCTCTGCCTCGATGATCTGCATGAGCCTCTTGACGACTTGCGCGTCCGTCAGTCGACCGTAGCGCAGGATCGCGCATCGCGACTGCAGCGGCTCGATGATCTTGTTGGACTGGTTGCAGGCGAAGGCGAAGCGGGTCGTGTTGGAGTAAATCTCCATCGTGCGGCGGAGAGCCTGTTGCGCGCCCGATGTCATACTGTCGGCCTCGTCGAGGATGACGAGCTTGTGGCGGCCCTGGGGGAGGGTGACTTTCTTCTGAGCGAAGCCCTTTATGCGGTTGCGGACGACGTCGATGCCTGGAGCCGGCTGTTAGTGACGTGCAGAGCTTGAGAGGGGGGCTTAGGCACGGCGTACCTCGCTCGTCACTGGCGTTCAGTTCCAACACTGCCTCTTTGTACGACTCTCCGAGCAGTTGCCGTGCCAGGCAGAGCACGCTCGTTGTCTTTCCGATACCAGGCATGCCCGAGATGATGACATGCGGCATGTTGCCCTCCTTCGCAATAATCTTCAATCGCTCGATCGTTTCCGTGTTGCCGACGACATCATCGAGGAATACCGGGCGATACTTTTCGACCCTGCAAGCATCGTCAGCTTCCTTAAGCTTGTTGCGGGGGGTTCTGATTCTCAGTTACCAAGGGAGCTCGTATGTTGGAGCGCCATTAGCAGTTGTTGAGACTGCTGTCGTAGCGACTGATAATGACGACTCTCCCGCTTCCTCCAGCTTTTGCACGTTCTTCTGGGCCGGCATCGTGTTGTATCCGTCGGTTGATTTCTTGGTCAGGAGGCTGCACGAGAACCCGCTGAGCACTGAAGAAAGTCCGTGGCATGGTAGGCACTTAACGCGAAGGGAGGACGACGCGAAGACACGCGCACGCGCTAGACCCTATTCGTACAGACGCCCCACCACAGCTTCAATCCCCATCGACATGAACTTGCGGTGATGCTATGCGCTCACAGTGTACCAACACATACATCACTCACAAATCACACCAACATGTGAACCTGAATATTCGACGTCATATTCCTTAATTCATTGAAATCCATGATGCTTTTGGCTATCTGCTTCAATCATCATCCAGGTCGACCGCACGCTTCTTCGCCTTTCCGTTCTTCGGGCCACCCTTGAAGTGCTTTTTGCTCGACATGATCTGCACGTCCTTCGGGTCCAGCCCATTCTCCAGCGCGACGATCGCTCTGGCTTTCCTGCCGCTCAGGGTCTTGGGTCCTGCTTTGCCTTGTTGAGAGTACTGGTGGCTGAAAGGCATCTTGAGATGACCTGAGCTACTGCTGCCAGGGCCGAAGAAGCCGCTATCGATTTGCTTCGACTTGGGACCCGCAGGCAACGGTACAAACTCAGAGGCCATGGTTGATTCGTCGTCTCCCGCAATGCTCAGGTCCTCCATCACAGGAACGAGATGGCCGCGGCGGTGCTCGGGCAGGTGCTCGTCGTCGTAGAGCTCGGAGTTGAACTCCTTGGCATCGACCGTGTTCGGGGGAGGCTGGCAGAACAGGAGCTTGCCTGCAACGTAGTCCTTGAGGATGTATCGTGCAGCTCTTGACTCGTCGGGCTGTCCAAGACCCTGCGTCTGGTATCCACGCGCCCTAGCGTACGCCCTCAAAAGCTCTGAGGCAGTGGGCTTGCCGGTACCGCCCTCTTCGAGCGCCCGCGTCCTGATGGTGATGCCATACACGGCCTCGAGGAAGTGCTTGGGTATCCTGAGAGCGACGAGGCCAGCGGGGCCGGTGAACTCTCTCAACTGGTCGATGGGGAGGACACCGTTGCAAACAAGATCGGCCTTGGTGTTGGCGAAGTTGGGGAACACGAGACCTGGGCAATCGCAGAGAATAACCTTCTCACTGAGGTGGATGGTCTGGAAATGCTTGGTCTTTCCGGGTGTTGAGGAAACAGACACCTTCTTGGCGCCGATGAGGGCGTTGATGGTGGATGACTTTCCGACGTTCGGGTAGCCGACGAGACCGACCGAGAGCTTGTGATCCGGTGCTGGTAGGAAAGGGGTCAGCGGTTCTTCTCGTCATTCGTACGCTTCGTGGCGAACTTACCGGCGTCCTTCGGCGCGTGGCTCAGGAAGATATCCTCCAGCTCCTCAACCGTCAATATCCTGATATCCTCATCGTCAACTTCGACGTCTGCCTCTTCTCCAGCCTCCTCTTCCTCCTCGCTCGACTCCTCAGACTCGTCCTGCTGCTCGCCTGCCTCCCGTTGCGGGGCTTTGGAGCTCGCGTCCTGCGACTCAGCCTCGGCCTCTGCCTCCTCTGCCTCGAGAGCCTCTTTCGCCAAAAAGGCTGAGAAGAACTTGTAGGCAATACCAGTCTCCTTCAGGTATTTCGCCCAGATCTTGCGTTGCTTCACAGTCATCATGTCGGCCTTGTTGATGAGCAGCAGGTTCTCCTTCCTCTTATCGACAGCCTTGACGTAGCTGTCAAGATCGTCGGATCGGAAGAGGAGAGGGTTACGAGCATCGACAATCTGCACGATGAGATCGGACCTCTCAATGACACGCCACAGTTGCCTCCACACCTCGAGATTTCGCTCAAACGGAGTCATAAGCAAGTCGTTGTTCTCTTGGAGCTCAGCAAGGCCCCGGCGCCAATCCAAGAAGCTCTCGCGCTCGAGGGTGTCGAGCTGCTCGGGTGTCGTGGACTCGTCCCACTTCGGTCTCCTCGGCACCGTCAACTTGCCCTTGTGAGCCCGCTGCTTGCCCAAGACGTCGCGCTCCTCGGCGCCAGAAAGGAGGTAAGGGTTCTTCTGGTCAGTGTGGATGATCTTGATGTTACTTGTCTTCTCAGCAGTGAAGTCAGTTCCGGCGAGCTCAGCCGTCGCCAGGAACTCGTCGAGAGCGCCCTGCTCAGTGACGGATCGCATCTTGACCCATGACGCCTCCTTCTTCTCATTCGTGACGTACTAGGACCCATGTGAGAATGTATTGCCGACTGATGCGCATGGGTACTTACCTCCTCTCCAGTCGCATGGTTGATACGCGTGATGGCGGAACCCCTCTTCCGGTCCTGGCCGTTTCCTTTGCCGAAACGGTCATTCATGAGGGTGTTCCCCAGACCGAGGGTATTCTTCTTCGCTTTCGGCATCTTGAGATCGATCAAAGGCAACAGACTCAAGTAATATGACTATTGTCGATGGTGGTGAAAGGGTTGGGTTCAGCAGAGCGGTCGAGGATGAGTCGCCGTTCGTACCTGATGTTGCCCCGCTGAATAATGCGACGCGGGGCAAATTTTCTGTTTCGACGTCATTTGTCCATGTTCGCACTGTTTTACAGCACAAAGGAACACCAGAAGCACAGTGCTATCGCTCAGCCTTGGGGGTGATTAGATAAACCCCACCATCAGGGACTTTTCCATTCCCAAATTTTGGATCGGGAATTTGGAGCGACTGACAAAACCACTAATCTTGTGTGCTGGTTGATGCCCAAGAGCGAGAAACACGCAAGTTCGTCGCACATTTCACGTCAGGCGCTGTCGAAATTCGATCCTTTAAACAGCAAAGTCCGAGAACAACATTATCAACATGGCGAAGGGAAAGTGGATGTGAGTCAAACCTAACCCCGCGCATGGTCGGCGAGAACAAATACTCATGTTCCACCATCAGTGACAAGAAGAGTGCGCAGCACTTCACACTCGTCCACCGGCCTCAGAATGATCCTCTGATCAACGACGAAAATGCGCCTTCCATGGTGTTCAACCCGACTCCTCAGCGCGGCGAGACCTCTACATCCGCCCGATCGAAGACCAAGCACCTTGATGACCTGGCCTCAGAATTCGGTTCCGATATTTCGGGCATCCGTCAGAACGAGGGTGAGGCCGCCGAATACGGCATCTACTACGATGACTCCGAGTACGACTACATGCAGCACATGCGCGACCTGAACACGGGTGCTGGCGAGGCCGTGTGGGTCGAGGCGGAGGCACCTAAGAACCAGGGCAAGGGAAAGCAGACCCAGTCACTCGAGGATGCGATCCGCGGGCTCGATGTCAAGGACGACCCCAGCTCGCTCGGTGACGATGCGCGCTTTGCGCAGGGTCTGCCAAAGGCCAACTACCAGTCTCAGCAGGACGTCCCTGACGCTATTGCTGGTCTTCAGCCCGACATGGACCCGCGTCTTCGAGAGGTTCTCGAGGCCCTTGACGACGAGGCTTATGTCGAAGAAGACGACGACATTTTCCAGGAGCTGGCAAAGGACGGACGGGAGATTTCTCAGTACGAGTTTGAGGATCAGTTCGGCGAGGAAGACGACGGCTGGGAGTCGGACCACACGGCCAAGCCGAACAAGGAGTACAACGACGATGTTGTACCTGAGCTCGTCACCGTAGATGGCGCAGAGCCTACGACGGCTGATCAGAACGAGGACTGGCTGGAGGATTTCAAACAGTTCAAGAAGGACCAGAAGAACCCTGGCGTCAAGCCTCGTGGTGCGGCAGTGGATCCGTCTGAAGTTCAGTCGTCTATGTGGACCACGACAACGATGGGCGGTCGTCGCAAGAAGCGCAAGGGAGCGCTGACCAACCCTTCGTCTTACTCGATGACTTCGTCGTCCATGGTCAGGACGGAGCAGTTGACCCTCCTGGACGCCAGGTTTGACAGGATAGAGGAGGAGTACACAAGCGAGATGGGCGGAGGGGACGACCTTGGCTCTGTTTCAGCCGTGTCCGCCATGTCGAGTGTGCAAGGTGAGACTCGTAACGATTTGGACAATATTCTGGACGACTTTTTGGGTAAATTCACAAAGCCTGGCAAGCGCACGAACAAGAAGGCGCGGCCCCAGACTGGCCTCGAGCAGCTGGACGAGATCAGGAGGGGTCTGGGACCTGCACGTCTGCGGCCTCAAGGCTACAGGTAATGAAAGACTAGACGGCTACAAAAGCCTCTGTAATGACCTAATGATACCCATTCTTTTCATCTTGAGGTGCTGTTGAGTAGTGTTTGAGAAAGAGGTGAATGTTGTTGTAGCTTGCAAGCCTGGTGATGTACCTACCTGAGAGTAAGGTATCTACCTACCTACCTACCTTACCTACCTACGTAGGCAGGCAGGGATTGAAGAGGGAAGCCTATATGGCCCTGGGAAGTGCATAGGCCGCCTGTGTTCTTCCCAAAAATCCAATCACGACAGAAGATTGTGATGAAACTGAACTCTATAAGAATCGCATCACAAGATCAAGAAACAAAGGAGTGGATGTCACGCGACCCTATCATCTCATCAGATGCAACAATTTGAGAGGACAAGATCAACGTGATAGCAAGGTAAGGTACCTGAGGCACCTCCCAGCTCAGTCCCACCCCACCACAAACCCCGGCACGACCTCTCCAAGTCCACCCCCCTAGCTCCAAGTTCAGGTCGCCTTCAGCCCCCGGGCCGAGCTCCCTCTCAGGGAGTGTCTGGTCTGGTTCAATGGCTCCACTTGCGCGCGAGCTACAGTTCCAGGTGCTACAACATCCAGCCTCGTCACGAAAATCTCCCCGAGTGACGTCCAATCGTTCATCCCCAACCACCGCTTCAACCCATCAACACCACCATCCCACCTTCGGTCGCCGCAGCCTCAAGCCGCGCATCTTCGGCGCACTCGCTCCAAGCGCCGCTGACATCGCAGAGCCCAGCATCACTGGCCTCGATGGCGCGGGCGACGTTCGTTGGGCCAAGCGCAACCGAACGACGACAGAGCGCGACACGATGAACGGTTTCGGAGCCAAGCGACGAGCCGGCAGTCCCGCGGACGGCGCAAGCTCCGACGATGGTCGGAAACGCAAGGGCAACGGTGCCCTCGACCGCAAAAAGAAGGCGACGACGACGAACGGCAAGAACGCGAACACTTCGAAGCCTCGACCATCCAACGTGACCGCTTTTGGCGCCGACACGACCAACTATGACACCGATCCCGGCACCTACGATACCGAAGCAAACAGCACGTATGCCAAGCGAATCTACGAGCAGCTGCGAAAAGACAAAATCCTCCCACCGAAATGGCCGTCCGATCCCGGGAACCCATCGTCCAAGGGCGCCATGGCAAAATACAGAGAGACATCCAAGTCGTATCGCGACCGGGCGCGCGCTTCCTTGATGGCTGCTGGCCTGATTGACGACCCCGACAAGCCAAAACGCCTGGAGGACGCCATTGACTTCAAGGGTATCTGCGAGGATATGTGCCCCAATTTCGAAAAGATCACGCGTATCACCGAGTTTGATGTGCAACATGCCGAAAAGGACCCGCAGACGTCGTTTCCCGTCATCAGCAAGATGGTGAAGAAACTGGCCAGATCGGCGGCAGGCCAGGAAGCTCCCCTACCAATGGACGTTCGATCGACTGCAGCACTCCGCCGGACGCTCGACTATTTGGTGGACGACCTCCTCGAGGACGAAGACAATCTGCCAATGCTGCACGGCTATCTATGGGATCGCACGCGAGCCATTCGACGCGACTTCATCTTCCACTCAAGCATGAGCGCCGAAGAGATGAAGGACCAGGTCTACTGCCTCGAGACGATTGCGCGCTTCCACGTCACTTCGCTGCACCTGCTCTCCCGCCCCGACGTGACGCCAGAGGACTTTTCGGAGCAGCAAGAGATCGAACAGCTCGGCAAAGCATTGCTTTCGCTGATGCACGCCTACGACGACAGCAAGGCGCAAGGCCTTGTTTGCGAAAACGAAACAGAGTTCAGGGCCTACCAGCTTCTCTTCAGCGCCAATCAACCAAATATCCTCGACAACGTCCAGCAGGAATGGGCGAACCCTCGACTATGGAAGGACTCTGACGAGATCAGAACCGCCGTCTCTCTAGTCGAGGCGTTGCAGAGCACTACTGATTTGCACGGCCCTATGGGTACCGCGCCGCACCTGGCGGTGTCAGGAGCCTACAACACGTACTTCAAGATCGTCGAGAACCCCGAAGTGTCCTATACTATGGCCTGTTTTGCGGAAATTCACTTTGGCCAGCTGCGGCGATCGATGCTCAAGACCTTACGGCGAGCTTACTGGAGACCGAAAGTTTTGGCGAGGGACATCACGCCCGCATTGCTAAATACCTTCCTGAGGTTCGACACCGAGGACGAAGCAATTGATTTTGTCGAGGAACACGGGATGAGCTGGGTCCCTCTCGAGGATTCGCCAGACGACGAATACAGACAATACCTGAGGACGACCGATGGTATGGAGTTCCCGCGGCTTCATCACACAACCTCAGAAACCATTGTAGAGAAGAAGCGAGGTTCTCGGAGTCTTTCCGAAGTTATCCACCGCTCAGTATACGAAGATCCTTCAGCAACGGCGGCTTCGAACCGGCCCGGTACTGAGAAGCCCTTCTTGCGGAGTACAGCAAAGTCACAGAGCACGCCTAATGCTTCGGCATTTCAGGGCTTTCAGAAGCCGACAAACGGTTTCGCAACTGCCCAACCAACAGAAACACCCTTCAGCCAAGGTACTATCATCTCTTTGTAGCACATTAATTGAGGCCCTTGACAAAGAAATATGAGACTAACCTGTGTCCTAGTATCATCCAATGGATTCGCAAAAACCAATGACGGGACCACTACAAGTCCATTTTCCGCGCCCTCCTTTGGCCAGCCTTCAAGCACCACCCCTAGCCCTTTTCAAACAACCTCTTCACAACCCGCGGCGCAAAGTCCGTTTGCTTCATTGGGCGCTGCCACGGGACAAAAGCCTCCGCCGCAAGCCTCAGCATTCTCGAGCCCATTCGCCTCTACTCCACAGCTTGCAGGAGGTTCTTCCAACCAGAAGCCATCTCCGTTCGCCAGCCCCTTCGCTCAGCCAGCAGCTACCGTTCAAAAGGCGAAAGAAACGCCCAAGATACCCAGTCCTTTCAGTGCATTCGGGAAACCCACCGAAGTGTCCGCCCCCGCCCCTGTTGATGCCTCCACTCAACCCCCAAACTCGGCGGCATCTCCATTCGGCAGCCCCTTTTCACAAGCCCCGGCAACAACACAACAGCCAAGCCTGTCTTCAAGATCTTCGAGCCCCTTCGCAGGTCTCTCCAAGACTGTGGAAAACCCTACCACTTCATTCGCGGCTCCCCCAGCTGGAGCCGATCAATCAAAGCCTGTTCCGAGTGCCGACGAAGGCCAGGCTGTCTCAGGGCAAACCAAGGCCCCTACACTTCCAGGCACAGCTGCGACATTCAAGACACCGCAGTTGTCGTTCCCACCACCAACGAGCACAGCAGGGACGCCGAAGACTACCTCATCTACACCTTTCTCTTTCCTGCCTGCCACAAGCACTGGGGTGGCGTTGCCCCCAGCAGCTACACTGTCACCTGGCAAGACCGTGTCCCCGTTTCCCAGTGTGACAAGTCCGCCATCGACAACGCCAGCCATCCCGCAAGATGCGGCGATAAAGCAAAAAGTATCCGAGGCGCCCAAGTCTTTGGCTTTAACCCAGCCTGCAGGACCACAGCAAAGTATCTTGGGTGGCTCGACCTCGACTACTCCGCCCGGAATTGCGGCGGCATTTCCAGCCACGGTCGAGGCCACTCCAACATCAGCAGCGGTGCCAGCCCCCACCCAGCCAGCAGCTCCCCCTGCGCCAAAGAGGGACCTTATGGCGGATTTCACGAATTGGTTTGTCAAGGGTGACGAAGGGCTACTGCAAGAGTTTGAGGTCTACATGGTGGAGCAGATTGTCAAAAAGACGTATGACGAGTTTGTCAAGGAAGAAGCAGAGAGGAAACGCAGAGAAGAGGAGGAAAGAGACTTGGCGGAAGCTCGCAAGTTTCAAGTCTACAACCTCAGCGTCAAATTTTTCTACCGTTGGAGGGAAATCGCACGGAAGAACCGTCTACACAGGCGTCGTGTCAAGGATCGGGAGGAATACAAGGCAGCGCTGGCCGAGAAATTCGCCGCCGAGGCGGCGCGGAAGAAGAAGGCGAAGCAAGTCGAAGCCGCTCGACTGGCCGCTCTTCAGCGCAACAAGGGCATCGACGCGGTCGACGAGTTCAGAGACCTGCTTCAGATGCAGAAGGACAAGTCGCAGGACCACGAGGATGCGCTCTGGGCCAGCGGCGTCCTGGCAGGCATACACGATGAACGCGAAGCGATTGCCAGCATCGTCAGACACCACATGCCTCCACCAGCAGCACCGACGCCGAAAAAGTGGAAAAAGTCGCTGCCTCCCAGCAACGTCAGCATCTCTCGGTCTGAATCGGCCAAGCCCGGCAGTGCCAAGACGCAGGCCTTACGGGAGAAGTTCAGCGCCAGCACCAACAACCGCTCGACTTCATTCCGTCGCTCGCTGCCGTCCAGCACCGGCAGCTCTTCTTTCCGGGCGTCTCCGTCGCCGAGCGAACCTTCCAAGCGCCAAAGCAGGGTATCTGATCGTTGGCGCCTAAAGGCTATGGGCCTTGTTACAATGCCAGATGGAACCGCTCTGCCGGAATCGCTCGCCAACTCGATGCGGTATGACGGTGCCAGATACGACGGATGGGGCTCGTTTGGGCTGGACTCAAAGACACATCACCGGAGCCGTAGCACGTCTGCAGATGTCGGGGCCGCCGCCGCCGCTCGCGAGCGCTTCTCGCAATCTTTCCACAACCGATCGGCATCCGAGGCCAAAGGGCCCAGCAGCGCCTCGCCCACCACGATCAAGCGAAAGAGATCAGCCGACGACGAGCAGAGCACATCAGTCGATAGCGACACGAAGAAGAGGAAGGCAGCCGGCAACGCGGATCTCGAGCAGATCCTGCGTGACGCCAAGGAGACGCTGAGCGCCTTGAGGAGCTCGAGGATGGAATTGGACGAAGGCGCTGGCTGGTTCAGGGAGCAGAGCGAGATGATGCAGCAGGAGGAGGCGCTGAGCAGGAGGAGCAGCTCGGCATGGGGCGAGCGGCTATGAGTGAAAGGAGGGGGGAGGGGAGGACTGTACGAGGGACTAGAACGGATTTGCATCGCGTCAGACAAAGCAGGCCAGGCGTTTTGGGAGACGTTGAGCTCCGGGCGGAAACTGGAATGAAAGCACCGGCATACACGCTGGGGAGCGTGATTTATTTTGAAATACCAACACTGTTCGATACATGTCAGCGCATTGTTTACCTTGCTTCATATTGCTATCAGTTCAACTCATGGGTCTTGCATCCTCACTAGACACGGTATCACTCCTCCCTATTTGGTGGGGGAGGTAGATTTGTATGTTTGGTCGACTGTTCATCTCGCTCAATCCCATTACACGCAGCCTTCAGTCGTACAAGAGCAGCTTCATCTACTTGTTCGCTTTCGCTTTCCTGCCGTCCAATCTCCACCCATACAGAAAGAAGCCTCTACCAGCTCTACCTCCTTTTCGGCGACGGCGGCGGCGGGAAAGAAGTCTGCAGCGTCCGGCTCTCCGTCGGGCTCCCGCCCCCCAACGGCGCCGGCACCGGCACGCCTCTCTTCTGCGCCACAGGCGCAATGGACTCCCTGCCGAGCAGAATGTTCAGCACCTGGCCCTGCGGGTGGCTCTGCCTCGGCGGCGACAATGACACGGCGTCGCTTCGCGGCTGGCCGGACTGTGGGGGCCAGCCCCGCTGCGAGAGGAGGGGGCTCGCCGTGGCGCCCGAGAGGAGCGGCGAGCCGTGCGATTCCGCGGCCGGGCTGCGCGGGGGGCGGGGCGGGGCGGAGGCGCCGTACGAGGCGGTGCCTGGGGCGTGGTGTACGGGCAGGAGGGCTGTCGTGGAGCGGGTCGACGACGTCGACGTCGGCGTCGCGTAGTCTGTCGGCGAGGGTTTGTAGAAGGCCGACTGCGCGTGGCTGGGCAGGATGGTGCTCAGGGAGAGGGCGTCCTTGGCGTGGCCCTGCGGCGCTGCTCCGCCTCGCCAGGGCTGGGTGGGCGGCGGGCTTGCGGACGACTGGTTCCAGGCGCTGCTCATGTGTGTCGAGATGGATGGGTTCGAGGTGAGCGCCGCGGCCGGGTCGACAAAGGGCTTCTCGCGCGTGGCCGCCTCCTCTTCCCCGATCGGGAAGAAGGTTGGTGACCTGGGCGTCAGGTGCGTCTGGCAGCGGAACGAGAGCGATGACGCCGGCCGATGGCGGCGGGCTCCTTTCTTTGACATGTTCTGGCTCTCGCGGCGGGCTTTGCGTTTGCGGTGGTGCATGTAGCCGCAGCCGCTGCCGAGGAGGAGCAGCACGAACCCGCCAATGGCGATGCCAACGATTGCTGGAAGCGTAAGCACTGGCGCTTGTTCCGGCTTCTTGGTCTCAAGCGTCGAGGGATCAACGGCCTCTACCGCTGTGGCGCTGAATATTGTGTCGTTCAGGCCGATGAGAGTGCCGGGATTGGGACGTTGTTGGCAACCAGCGTCCAAAGCTATGAGGACTGTGGCACGAAGTGAGCTTGAGACACAAAAGAAATGACCTGGGCTGGTGGCCTACAGTTGGACAATAAGTGATGTTCACCCCCGACCTTGACACAATCAAGGCATCGACCAAATGCATCGGACGTCATGGCCCCTCCATCAGCATCACAGTATCCATACTGCGACGTGCTGTCTAATTCCGATAGGTCGTCGGTCAAGGCATCTTCCAAAGGTCCGCAAGCAGATGAGGTGAGGCAGGGCCCTGAACCGAGGCCGGTCGAATTGGGAAAACCAAATATGCAATGGCCGAGCGTGTATCTGAGGTTGTCTGAAGATCTCAGTAAGTTTCCTGGTGATACAAAGGCAGGGAAGCAGAATCCACTTACACAGGAACCACAGCTGATCACTCTCCGAGGCCGTCTCGAAAGGTGACTCTTGGAGACAGGTCAAGCATTGTTGAAATTTGCGGCCCTTGGCGCCGGACTGATAATCAGAGTCGTCACAGGTGATTTGTTGGGCCTGCGTAGATGATGACTCGGGGTCAGAGCGATCAAGATCATGGCTGTCCAAACAGAATTCGGCGCAGGGTGAGTTTGGCGTGACCTGCAGCGCCAAAACGAATGTAGCCAAAAGAGAGGCGAGGAGCCAGCGAGTGAGGACGGTCATGTCGTTTATCTTGATTTGTTCTGATGCTCAGAGGCAAGAAGAGAAGGTAGAACTCAAATGAATGTTGTTGAAGCAGACTGCCAGAGCCAGCTTCACAAACGAATATTACTTGGTATCGAAAAGGGGTATCTTGGAACGATTCAGGATTAAAGAACGATAGAAGTGAAGAGCAGTGAGAATCAAAACAAAACAACAAGTCCAAAAGGCACGACTCAAACGGGAAGACGGACGACAAACACGAGAAATGACATCCCGCTGTGGCTCGATGACGGGTTCAGCTGGTGATAATATATGCCGCCCGCGTCGGCCATCACACGATCGTCGGCAACCCTGCGGCGCCTGTTTGCTCGATCAAGGCGGGAGGAAACCCGTCACGGCGGGTCACCGCGAGGAGTATCGCGTGACAAGCGCGAGACATGCAGTTCCCGATGGGGAGTAGATGCTCCCCAGCGCGACTCCCAGAGGCTGCTCGTAGGCTGCTGCCGCTCGCAGCAATCGATAGCGGCCGATGTTCATGCAACAGGGGAGCCTTTCGTGATGGCTCGCAAAGCACAAACGCGACCAATGACGGATCGTCAGCGCGAGGAGTGCTACGCCGAGAGGCATCGCAGGAAAGCCCGGCACTTCCTGTCGCTTGCAACAGCAGGCTGCTGCAGAGTCTGACAGGCTGGAGGTTGCCAGTGTAGCGCTGGTAGCCAAGTCACCTGCAGAGTGCTCCAGGCGAAAACATGGTCGCAAGGCCCCGTGGTGGTACAAGCGGTGAGATGGACATCGTCGACGGGCGCTTGCGTGAACAATTGAAGGTTCTGAGCAAGGCCAATGAGCTTTGGGCGTTTCGTCGACGAGTGATGGTGGCGGGGAAACGGGCGCGTAAAATGATCAGCACCCGAGTGGCCCAGACAGAGGCTCTACCGATTTCACACAAACGACACTGGTCTGTCGGCTCTCTGTAGACTGCAGCGACTTTCAATCAAACGGCCCCATGGTGGTACGAGCTTTGTGGACATCGTGTGGAATGGCGGCACGGATCGAGGTGAAGGTCTGAGGTCTACCTTTGTGTTGCCACGACTTGATGTTGCTAGTGCCAGCGGGCCGTGGTCTTCGGCTCCAGCCGAGGCCTGTCCTGACCCACCTCACTCAAGGATCACAGGAATGATGCTCTCCACATGTGGCCGTAAAAGAGTTCTCTGGCCATGACAATGCTTCATGGTCCGTTTGCGATGCACCGAGCTGTAATCCAGCAAGATCCCGATTTCATCTTGCGCAACCTGCTGCAGCAAGTTCGGCCTAGAAGGCCTTGTCGCCAGCACCTTCGACTCGGTGACAAGACATAATCTCTCATATTCGTAAAGACCCTAAATCAGAACCTTCCGATATTATACACCCCACCCATCTCGGAGACTCTGCCCTGCTGCTCGGGGAGCACAATATGTCATCCCAGGCAGGCCGAAAGACATCCCCCTCGCACAACGTTTCTGACCACAATATAGCCCTGGTATGCGCAAGAACATGGCCCCATTCTCTGAGTTGAAGGCTAGTCGCCGCAGCTCGCGCCCTCTCGAGGAACCACTGGTACTGTGCTGTGCCCACCGAGGCTGCGAGACCGATGGTGAAGATCCAAATATCAAACGGCGAAGGATCGAGCTGTTCGTGGTTCTCGATCAGATTCCTGATAACATCGCTCATGATGACAGTATGTGGGTAATATGTTGGTCCCTGAATGATGAACATGTAGAGCGCAGTAGTGTACCGCAGGCATTGGCTCACGGGTGATGGGGCTGTTATCGACGGATCTGGTGATGCCCGCAGAAGGCGATGAACAACAAAACATGTCAGATCGTGAAGTCGTGTCGTCGAAAAATGCACTTGCTCCGCCTGCCGGAAAACACTCCGTAGGCGATCAACAACGTTGCTGACGGCGTAGTCAACCTCGTAGAGGGCGAGATCAACATGATAATCATCAAGGCCTGCTGGCTCAAGCTGCCACTCCGGGATAGGCGGTATGCCGTCCCCAATGCCGGCATCGTCTTGGGTTTCGAATTGCGGGTGGCCCATGATGAGCATCGATGCCCTAGCGGTCTGTCAGTGTGATTCTGCAGTCTTAGTCATATCATGGTGGCAGAAGAACATACCAGCTCACCATCCTTGCCGTGAGAGGGCTGGTCTGCCGGACGGCGTTGATGCCGCCTCTCAGCTGGACCAATCTTTTGACCCCCTCAACGTGCGTGTGGCTCACATCAATGTTGCCTTTACCGTACTGGGTGGGGTATGTGATGTCAGAATAGAAGACGCAGGGACGTTGCACGTGAGAACCGACCTCTATCGTCGCCAGCGTGATGACCGAGTTCATCGTGCCATCTTGTACAGCCAACGACAAGTCCTCGACTTTCCGTCGCAGCAGAGCCACAGAGTCGGCCATCAGAACTTCCGACGACTGGAAGCCCTTCTGAGCGAGCAGCTCCTCGTCTAGACATGCCGTCTGCAGTGACACGTGGAAAAGGGCAGGGTCGCCCAGCGCGAGTGGCCACCAGGAAACGAGGAACGGATTTGATGTTGCGCTCAGGTCCAGGGGATAATATTGGAAAGCGATCTTATTGTGGACTGAAGCTGTGAGCCACCTCGAATGGACGAGTGAGCGTTGAAGCAGCAACGTACGATGTACATACAGCTATGGATGAGACGTTGCACCTGTGCCCTCGGAAGTCTCGTCTGTGGATACGAGTCGAATGGATCCAGAGATCCAAACCTGTAGGTGGTCAACGCGCTAGGGCTACTGGAAGGCCTCGACGCCCATGTCTCCTCTCGGCCGGGCTGCTCGGAGGAGACTGGTGACGCTGTCAAGGGCTCGTTGGCGTAGAGGCATTGGACATTGCGCTTGAGGCAGCGAGAGCAGCGCGGCGTGCGCAGGTCGCAGCTGTGTTTTGATCGTGCGCAGGCAGCACAGGACCGTCGAAGCGTCTGGCGCATCTTGAGTCGAGATGACCCGAGAGAGTGTCACGGGGCAATTCCCAAAAGATGCAGCGTCGATGTCTAAGGTTCGTCACGTCAACGTCGAGCCCCCGGATCTCGAGGAATCATGCGCACCAGGAAGGTGCGTGCCTTGTAAGGTACGTACTCTGACTTGGGCTGGGTCTTGACCCAAAGAGGACTAGACTCCGCAGAGACATGCCGTTGCACTTGGCGAGTCGAAGGCAATCGGAGTCTAGTCCTAATCGGGCCCCTTGTTGGCAACTTCCATCATGTCGCGATGCCCTCCACAAACACTAGGGAGTGTCATCCGATTACCGACAGCCCATCGAGAGGAGCTTTTGAAGCATGGTTCTCACTGCATCTTTGCCTGTTTTTACTTGCTACGGAGCCACTGCATGGCCCGAGCGGAAGCTTTCGGCGTCACAAGTAATCAATGCCTTGGCCCGAATGTCCGATCCAGCTTCAAGGCCCACCAGGCTGCGTGAGCCATGGGTCAGCGGCAATCTATAAGAGAGAAACATGATGTCCGTCATTCTTTGACAGCAGCTCGTTGACACGGGAATTATTGGTTTCTACACAATGGATGTTGACCACCTCAACACCACCGGCATGCCGCCTGAGCTGCCACAGTCATGGCCTTCCAGCACCCCTCAGTCACGAGACATGCTGCTCAAGTTCATCGCAGGATGGGCGGCATGGCAATACGCTGTGACCCTTTTGCTCGGTATTGTTGTCTATGACCAAGGTACTATGCAGCACAGATCACCAGGATGACCCATACTAACATCAGAACCACCAGTCATGTACATCAAGCGAAAAGGGTCGATCGCAGGCCCTCGGCTCAAAATTCCTCTCATGGGTCCCTTTATTCAAGCTCTTCATCCCAAATTCGAATCATACCTTGTTCAATGGGCCAGCGGACCTCTGAGTTGTGTTTCTGTCTTCCACAAGTGCGTACTACCATCCACTAGACTGCCCTGTTAAGACATGTCCCGTCACTGATGCTGACATGTGTCTCTCTAGGTTCGTCGTTCTCGCCTCCGACAGAGATATCGCCCACAAGGTCTTCAAGACCCCCTCACATGCTGAGCCCTGCATCGTGCCCATTGCCAAGGATATTCTCGGCCACAAAGCCTGGGTCTTCCTTCAAGGCACGACCCACGCCGAGTACCGCCGTGGCCTGAAGCCTCTCTTCACGAACCAAGCCATCTCGACGTATCTCCCCGTCCAGGACCGAGTTCTTGACGTCTACTTTTCCAAGTTCATCTCCATGACAGAAGCGAACAGCGGACGCCCCGCCCCTTTCATGGGCCTGTTCCGCGAGATCAACTGCGCACTATCGTGCCGCACCTTCTTTGGCGACTACATCTCCGAGGACGCCGTCAAGAAGATTGCCGACGACTTTTATCTCGTCACGGAAGCCCTTGAGCTCGTGAATGTTCCTCTGTCCATGTATGTCCCTTTTACCAAGACGTGGCTGGGTAAGCGCACCGCCGACGCCGTGCACGTCGAGTTTGCAAAATGTGCCGCCGCATGTAAAGCGAACATGGCCACGGGCGCGGCGCCGACCTGTATCGTCGACCAGTGGGTTCTGCACATGATGGAGTCGGAAAGGTACCGCGAAAAGGTTGCTGCCGGAGACACCGATGCCGAGAAGCCGAAGAATATGATCCGCGAGTTTACCAACGAGGAGATCAGCGAGACGCTCTTCACGTTCCTATTTGCGTCGCAGGACGCCTCGAGCAGTGCCACTACCTGGCTGTTCCAGGTTCTCGCGCAGAGGCCCGATGTTCTCGACCGACTGCGCGAGGAGAACCTCAACGTCCGGGGCGGCGATCGCACAAAGTCGTTCAACCTGTCCATGTGGGAGTCGATGACTTACACGCACGCCGTCATCAAGGAGCTTCTGCGCCACAGGCCGCCCGTCATCTTTGTGCCCTACCTCGCTACGAAGAACTTTCCCGTTACACCGAGTTATACCGTGCCCAAGGGGTCGATGATTGTGCCGTCGTGCTACCCGGCCCTGCACGACCCGAATGTCTATCCCCATCCGGACGTGTTTGATCCCGATCGGTGGATCACGGGCGACGCCGAGTCCAAGACGAAGAACTGGCTCGTCTTTGGGGCCGGGCCGCATGACTGTCTTGCCAGGCGGTATGTGCCGCTGTCGATGGCGGGCATGATTGGCAAGGCGGCGCTGGAGCTCGACTGGAAACACCATGCTACAGATCGGTCCGAGGAGATCCGCGTGTTTGCGACGCTGTTTCCCATGGTGAGTTCTGTTCATTTCGCCTCAACTGCAATTGTCGTTCGTATTTGCTAATTTGCAACATAGGACGAGTGCCCGTTGACATTCACGAGACGCCCGTAAAGCACTTATGCTACTCTGTTGGACAGGCATGTACGACTACCGAATGACCTTCATACATGTGTAGCAAAATAGAAGTTGAACCGAACCACTTTATTCCAATTAAACTAGTCATAATCATTACCCGGCTCTTTCGTCCGGTAGTCTATCTATGGTATCGCCAGTGTCGTCATCTAAAGTCTAGATTTTGTCTCATGCCCTCAAGATCACCCTCCATCAAATAATAGCGTCCAGCCCCAACACGGCGTACCGCGTGGCATACAGACACCTGCCGCTGTCGCAGTTGGCATGGAATACCATCTGCCCGCCGTTTATAACGCTCGTCGCACCGCCAGGACTTACGAGCCCATAGTCCCCAGTCTGCAGCAACGGCCTCAACGACCTGATGTACGGGCCCTCGACCCTGCGACTGACGGCGTAATTAATATTATACTTATCCGAAGCGTAGCACCAACTGCTGAAGAAGAGCACATAGGTGCCATCCTCGAGCCTCACGATGTCCGGCGCCTCGACGAGCGGACCATCGGCCTCCGTGCGGTCGAGGATCTGCACGGGGTTGCCAATCTTGGTGAACCCATCCGGCCCAACCTCCTGCAGCATGATGGGCGTCGACACGACGGGGTCCACCGAGTTGCCGCAGTCGCCGCCGTTGCCGTCGTGGTTGCCGTCGACCTTGTACACGACGTACCTCCGCCCCGTGCCGGCGTCGTGGAAGCCCGCCGGGTCGATGGCGCCGCCCTGGTCGAGGTGGCAGGCCCAGGGCTCGAGCATCGGCCGGTACGGCCCCGTCATGCTGTCCGCCAGCGCGACGCCGACGCAGTGTCTGCCGTCGGCGTCGGGCAGCTCGCCCGAGAAGTAGAGGATGTAGCTGTCGTTGCCCGTGCGCCGGACGTCGGGCGCCCACGTGTTGCGCCCGCTCGTCCAGCTGTGGTCGGGCATGGCGTCGCCGTCGAGGTACGTCCACGGGCCGAGCGGGTCCGGCGCCACGGCGGCCTGGACGTTGCGGCCGCCCGAGTTTGTGGCGAAGGAGTACCACAGACCGTCGTCATCCTGGAGAATGCAGGGGTCTGGGAAATCCGTCTCGAGCTTGACGTCGCCCGTGCCGGTGGTTTCGTAGGCGTAAAGCGGCTGCATGGGAATCTGAGTCTCAATGGGGGATGCCGCCGTGAGGGGGAGGATGGCCGCGAAGGCGGTGGCCGCCAGGAGGCCTTGTGCCCGTGATGGTATCATGATACAGTTGAAACTTTGGATGAACTAATCGACGACTTGAACTCTAGATAGGCGAGATCTGCGGCGCATACATCTCGGGGGACAGCTACATTCAGCTGGGCCGTCTCACGCCTTTGTATTCCCCCCTTGCCTAATGCAGGCACAGAGCGTTTACACACACTCTCTCCCCCCCCTCCCCTTTTTTTGCTCAGCCGCCGAGGGCTGGACTGACGCAAGTCTGCATCCCTAGCTTCTGCTCCCGATCGGCCGCGCAAAGCATGACAGTCACGGCGAGGTCATCCAGTCCCGCATCATGCTCCACGCGCCGCCCGCGGGTTGGGGGTTGTAAAAAGGGGGTCTGTGAAGGGATGTCATCGAAAAGAAAAACCTCCGAGCTATCCTTCCGCGGCGGACCAACTTACCAACCACCAACCACCCCGGGCAATACCTCAGCCCTTTTATCGGCACTGCGGACGGCCTAGGACGAATCATCACGTTTCGCCATGGCGCGTCCCGACCGGGAACTTCCTGGTGCGACACGGGAAAAAAGGGGGCAACTGCCAACTACCTTGACAACTGGATGTGCATCAGACGAACGAACAACACATACTGAACACGTCTCCATGACGTGGGAAACTGTGGGCTTCATCTGCATCTGAGATCCTTGAAGAAAACCACATTTTGTGGTACCAGCGGTAAGGAAAACAAGATGATGAGCGTTGAAGCAGGTCTGAGCGGGCGTTAGGGCGTCGATTGTTAGGCTCGGCTCACCAAAGTGTTCGGTCATCACTGGGTAGATGGGCGCGAGAGAGATCTCGATGAGACCCTGAGGCTGAATGCTCCCTGGGGATGGGAATGGAGATGGGGTGGATGAGATCTGCGGTCGGCATCTGAGACCAGACGGAAGCCAAGGACCGCATGAACGTCATTGCTCCGCCCACTAGCTAACGTCAAGCGGTCGGGTCGTGGTCTGTCCTTTCGCATTGGGCATCTGGAATTGCATGTTTCGCAGTGCTCTGGGCCCGACGTTAGAGGTGCCTCTACCTCGCGGCGCATGCTCCAGCACATGCAGCAATGCGCCTGCAAAGATAGGGGCGGCACGCGGCTGCAAGCAACGCTTCGACACGCGCCTGAGCGAGCATTCACCGTCATGATCACGGGTCTTGCTAACCAAACACTGCATTGTTCTCATATCGCCATCTACTCCGATCCAGACAACAAAGACAATGTTCACAAATTCATCCAAACGCCTAATGCCCAAGCCATTTTAGTGGTACAACGGCCTTGCCACCCAACGGCCGATGCAACGGGGAAAGTGGTATCGCGCCAAACCGCCGTGTCCATCAACGTGTCGGCTCAGAGAGACTCGACTTAGTCGCTCTCCTCGTCGCTGTCGCCCTTGGACTTCTTCGCCGCCTTGGCCGCCTTCTTCTCCGCCTTCCTGCGCTTGCGCTCGGCCTTCTCCTCAGCCGTCTCGCCCTCGTGCTTCTTGCGCTTCTTCGAGTCCTTGTCCTCGGCATCCGAGGCAGCGGCGGGCGTCTCGGCGGAGGTCATCTCCGTGTCGACGGCAGCGGGCTTGGCGGGAGTGGCGGGCGCGTCGGCCTGGGCACCGCCGCTGAAGTCCTTGTACTCGGAGACCCACTTGGCGGGCGTCGCCTCGTTCGGCCTGCCGTACTTGTCGAGCTTGCCGTCGGCCTTCATCTTCTTCTTCTCCGAAGCCTGGGGACCCAAGCCCCACTTGCGGGGGTACAGGTCACGCTCCATGATGCAGCGCTTGATCTTGGCAACGACGCCGTGGTCTATGCAGGTCAGTAGATAGACTTAAATAGTGCCATGGTGTTCGACATACCGCAGGTCGACATCTCGACGGTCGACATCTGGGCGATACCCAGAGCGATGGCCTCGCCCTTGGTGGTCATCATGACAACCTCGTCGTGGACCTCAATCTCGGACTCTGCGTGGCATTAGTAGTGATCCCAATGTTCAACGGCGGCCAGACATACCGTAACGAAGGAGACCGGGAAGCATAAGCTTGGCACCGTAGCAGACGGCGTTGACAGCGCTGTCCTTGACGACGACGCGCTTGTAGCTGGTGAGGAGAGTCTCGAGGGGAGAAATGACCCTGCGAAGGTAAGACTCGTCACGGGTGTTGTCCATGGTCCACTGGGCGTCGAGGACGTCGTGGAGGGTAACGAGACCCTTGTTCTCGTCCATGGCACCGGAGCGCACACGACGAAGCTCCTGCATGTGGGCGCCAACACCGAGAAGGAGACCCTGCGATTCTCGTTAGCTTATCTTTCGGGTGCGATACCTTGACCAAAACATACCAGATGGACGCAGAGGGTACGGATGTAGGTACCGGCCTCGCAAGAGACCCAGAAGACACCGAGGTGGCGGTCGTTGTCGAACTCGATGACCTTGGACTCGTGGATGGTACGGATACGGAGCTGACGCTTGACGGCCGAGATCAGGGGAGGACGCTGGAACAGAGCACCAGTGAGGGCTGTAAAGCGTTAGCCTGATAACTGAACAAGCATTGACGATGCATGCTTACTCTCGAGAGCACGAGCGAACTGGACCTGGCCACCGGGGAGCTTGTCGTGCAGGCGGATGACGCAGACATACTCCTTACCGGCACCCTGCTGGCTCTTCACGAGCCTGGTGGCACGGTCGATACTAGGCTTGTTAGCGATAGGATCTGGGTGACGCGAAGCATTGAACCTACCAGACGATCAGGCAGCCCGTGACCTTGGGGTCAAGAGTACCACTGTGACCAGTCTTCTCGACACTGTGAACTATTAGCTACAATCCAACGAAAATGGGAATGCGCTGGTAAAATCGTGGGTTCCTCCGTGGCCGCTGCTGTGGCGTCGTCGCAAGCAAGGCCGTGGACACTTGGAGCATCATTCGGACAGGCATGGGCGTGTGCATTCAAGCGTGTCGTGACATCGCTTTTGCACTTTCGGGCCACAATTCTGTTGCCGCAATGATTGCCCTGTTCCACGCCTCCTAGCAGCAGGAACCACATTGGAACCCTCGAATGTATTGCCGTTTCGCGTCGTCAGGGAGAGAAGGCGTACCGGAGCATGCGCTTGAGCCAAGCGACGACCTCGTGGGAGCTGGGCTGTAGAGCTGTCAGACCAATTGTTCCCCTAACACATGACAATCGTCTCTGGGAAAGGGCGAACGCACGTTGGAGGGCTTGTCCAGGTTGATGACACCACTGGAGATGTACGACTTGATGTCACGCTTCAGCGGGCTGCATCCGGCGGGGATGGGCGTGAAGTGACCGGTGCGAACGAGGACTGCAGGCTACTCGTCAGCAAACGATGCAACTCGATCGTGTCTCTCGAGGAGGAGAAAACTTGCGCTTGTCATAGTTCTTGAGCAGCAGAGGCCAGCTGCTGGTGTCGAGCTGAGGAGTGGCGGCCTGGGGCTTGATGGAGTACTCCTCCTCCTCGCCGTGCTTCACGATCTCCATGGTCATGTTTCGGGCCTCGGTCGTGCCTTCTTTCTTCGCGACTTCCTATCTGCAACGGGCAATTGACCTCGTGGGGGCGAGTGTCTGGTCGAGCAGTGGGTGGTCGGGTGTCGCGACTGGTTCTTGCTGGTTGAGCTTTGTCGGGTGTTCCTCTGGGCTGGCGGGTCGAAGCTTCCAATTTTTTTTCTTCGACTTTGCTGTGGGGGTAGCTGCGACCGGCACAGGCGCTTCTGATTGGATGGTGGATTTCACCAGCCACAGCGATGGCGCTGTCAGCCACATTTGACGCTTCGGTCGCCTTATCAGGGATCTTATCAGCCGCTTGCTCTTTTCCTCCGCCTGATCCTGCTCCGCCGCAGAGATCGTGGTCATGAAGATGCCAGAAGGCCTAGATACTTAGAATTCTACCCTATTACTTGTAATAAATGAGTTTTTATCTACTTCGCTACTTGGAATGTGATTGACGTCCGTCTAGACTTCTCTGACTTCACCCTATGTTGAAGCAGCAAGAGAGAGTCCATGGCAGCGACAATATGACATCAAGAACCCAATTGACTCTGACGCCGCTGATTGAATTGGTCTGTTTGGATGTCCATCCGCTTTACGGCGCAATATTCTACGAGCGCTATCATCATGTTGGCGCTTCTTGTATTCTAGCTTCGCGGATAGGTATGCAAACCGTGCAGGCCATCATACATCAATCGTGGTGGCCAAAGAGTAGACCGTCTAACAGGCCTTGGACAAGGCAATATGTTCAACAATACTGCAAAGCCACGCACACCAAAGACACATATATTGAAAATGACCATTCATCCTCATCATCTCGATTTGAAATGTACAACACTACACATATACCTTACGGCAGGTACCACGACAGGTCGGCCTCCGAGACAAACCCTCCACTACGAAGAGGGGACTCAATACGCCAATTGTGCACACCTAGAGCCCAACTGCAGAGTTTCAAGGTGGTGGTCAGACAACCAAATCGCCATTTACGCGCCGATGGCATGCAAGTATTCATTTCCACTCGAGGCGGTGGTCTCCCACAAACTGTCATTCAGATGGTTCCTCGTCTGAGAATCTATCAGGCGCATCGTCGCCGGCGGCGAATCCAAGGGTTCTTTCCCGTGGCCCAGCAAGCGTACTTTTGACTCTTCACGCCACTATCACATGCATCGAACCGCCAGTCAAAATATCGGCACTTGAATTTGCCGCCCTTTCGATGATAGCTCTCTGGGCTGGGATGTCATTCACAACTTGATTCTCAATTGATCGGCGATATCGATCTCACTTGCCTCACTCATGGGCTTTTAGATTGTATAAGGATTTCAAATCGACATTAATAAAATTCACGGTCTACAACCCGTGGTTTCCCGTATTCGACCGTTCGATGAGCAAGTGGTATAAGACTCCAGACTCCCTCTCCCCTCTCACCCAACCATTAAAGTTGTACACGACCGGCATTACCACACATAAGCTTTCCTCGGGTCGTCCTGCGGGGAGTCGTGGTAATCAGCCGGGTTATACTGAGCATAGACCGGTCTCTCCGGCTGGTGGATCGGCTGTACGTCCAACGCGGGTGCCAGATGCTGCCCGTAGTTTCCATCAACCTCTCGTAGCTCATAAGATTCCTCCCCGACAGCCTTGCCTTTCGTATCCTGCTGCCAGACGGGCGAAGGCTCTGGCCCGCCAAGAGCAATTCCGACCTCCTGCGGCGCTGTCCTCATCTGAGGTTTGTCGGCGGGCCACGGCATGTTGCGCCCGTCTACTGCCGTGTCTGGACTGTTGTACTGTGACGAGTACGGCGAGAAGTATCTCGTCTGGAACTTCTCGGTGCTCACGCTCTGAGGCGAGTTGTCCCAGTCCCGGAGCGGCTTCTGGCTTTGTGGCGTGTCGTCCCAGCCTCGAAAGGGGTGCTGGCTCGATGGGCTTTCAAAGTATTCGCCCCGGGTGGTGTTGATGGGTGTAGGCCACGCAGCCATGGCTTTCTTGACCTTCTCATCGTAAGACTTGAGGAACGTCCGGCGTTTCCTGCGGCCATTGCAGATGATGCAGAATCCGACGGCGACCAGAATGAGGAGCAGCGCTCCAAACGCAATGCCCACTCGGGCATCGAGGCTCAGAGGCCCCGGGTAGTAATTGGGAATGTTGGTGGCGATCGGTGTCGGATCGGTAATATTGACAGCAGACGTTATGAATGGTGGGCTGTCAATGGAGACACGCGTTCCATTGATGGGCATTTGCTCGCATCCGGCCTGCAATACTGTCATGACTGAGGCATGTTAGCTTTGTCCCTGCCGGAGACCTTTTACGAGACTTACAATTGGCGAAAAAGTGGTTGCTGCCAGCACGGAGACATGATGCGCATCGAGGCAGCTGATCGTGAATCCAGGTAGAGCAGTACCCGTACGCCGTGCCGTTAGGCTCAAGCTCATTGTATGTAACTGCACGTTGCAATGGCTCGCAGGCAGTGCTAGTCTTGGGTCAGCATTGGCAGAGGCGGAGAGCATGACTGCGAAGGGACATACCTGGTCAAGCAGGGGCTTGATCCGACATCTTCGTTTTCTGGGTAGCCGAAAAGGCAGTATGATACGGCATACCGAAGGTTGTCTAGGAGCAACGGTCAGATCAGGGATTCCAAGCTGCCTAAAATCCAACTGTAAACTCACAAAGAGCCCATTGCGTATCGGTCTCGTCCCCGTCAATATAGCCACTGGTGAGCTGACAGGTTGTGCACCGTTCAAAGACACCGCCTTCGGCACTTGTGTCGTAGTCCTCCTCCTTGCACACCAGCTCATCTGAGCTGGTAGAGCCGAGAACGTTGCCACAGAGAGTCTGGCAAGGTGACCCGTCCACGGCCTTGAGAGCAGACGCACGGCTTAGCCAAAGCCCAAGCCAAAAGGCGCTGATAGCAAAGCGCATGCTGGAGGTTTTGCGTCAGTCGACTACTGTGGATAAGAGATCCTGTCCGTGATTCGAATTGAGGAAATATTCCAGTCGAAGTGCCAGGCGCTCGTCTTCGTCTCACATGCCGACGGGGAACGCGATGGTATGTCCGCGAACGGAACTTTCTGGTGAGTGTGCGAAGCAATGGGACGGACGACAAAGCTGGCGAGGAACGTTCACGATCTTGAGCTGGAACTTGCGGCGGAAGCACGAGTGGCAGTTCTCATATGTGCGACATGAAGTGAGAAGCGGGGATCGCTACGATCACGCCGTGGAGGTGTGACAGGGTGACGAGAAGCGCTGTGATCGCTGCAGGTTGGGAGGAAAGCCGCATGGCGTTGCAGCGTGTTGGTGCACAGGGTGGGCAGCTCATCACACAGTCCTGGTTGCTTCTTGGTACCATAGCCCGCCAGCCGCCCGTTCGGCGAGTGAGGCCCTGCCCAGCCAGAGCTTGTCTGCCCGCCCATCAGCGGCCCACTAGCCCTCAGCTGTGCTCTGTGCTTTCGCCTGCCGTTGCCGGTTGTGTACTCAACCGAAGATGGCAGAGAGGCGAAGAGGAGGAGGCGAGGGGTTGGGGGTGACCAGTGGTGATTGGGCGATGGGTATCTTCGATGGCCCCCCGAGCTCTGATCCTTGACTCGGGGGCCATGTTGCCGCCGTGGTTGATCGTGCTGTATCCACATGAGCAAACAAGCCGCCAATGATAACAAGAAACCCGTTCACCTGCGCGTGCTACATGCAAGGGCTCTGCTCCCGTTCACACACGACTGGCAAATAGGATCGCGAGAAACGTCCCCGACTTAATGATTCGCTTGTCGACTGCCTGGCACTTGAACAAGTGGCGGGCAATTTGAACATGATGATCACAGGGAATGTGACTTTGGCCGGTTGTCCAGGCCGCACATCACACACACCGTCCACTAGCATTGCTCTTCACCCCATCTTCAATTCCCCTTCGCTGTCCGAATCGGGTGGTGACCCCTACCAGTTACTGGCCCCTTCACGGAACTTGCCTGAAGTGTGGAAAACGTGTTGGTCTATCGACTCTTGACGATTCAATCGTGTAGCTTGCCCTGGCTACCGCCGAGGTGCCGCTTCACTTTTCACTGGAACGATGCAGCCTGCCGCACCTCTCATCCTGAACCTGGGGGCGGGTCGTGCGCCTCGATATCATGAGTATTGACCAATCCGTGATCACCTTGTGCTTGACTGTCATCCACGATTTAGTTATCTTGGTGAGGGCAAGGAGGTGGGAGCAAGAGGCTGGCATAGGGGTTTGCCAGCTTTGGACAGGCTTCTTTGAAGATCTCGACGCCGCTTCTGTATCGTTGTTGGATTATTCACTAGCCTAGTACATACATGTCCTCGTGAGCGAACAACTGCCATGCTGGCCAAGACCTCTAACTCCGCTATGCTGAACAGGGATGAGGAACGGATATCAATCGTTGGGGTGATCAGGTCATAAGTGAAGGAGAAAACAAAACCAAAGTGGACGACACGTCATAACGCCAGTCAACAAGCCCACTGCTCCTCCCGAGCAGCAGTTTGTCAAACACCGAGTTCGACATGTCTTTTGACTACCCTTGCCTACCGTAAACTCCTTGTATGTGTGTCATGTCTCCTTCTGTGTTCTAGACGGCCACGCCGTTGGGGGCTGTGGCCATCCTCAAAATATCCCGTTCTACAGCGTCAGGGGAAACCCCCTTGGATTCTGAACTTGGATGTCGTATGGCTTCGTCCTCGAATGATGCTTCTGCATCGTTGACGAACACCTCTGCTTTCGGTGTTCGAGTCTCAAAAGATGGAGTCGACGGCGAGCGGCCAGGAGTTGAAACTGTGTCAACAGTCTCGGCTAGTGAACCAGAGTCACTACAGGCAACACCGTCCGGCGTGATTTGAGAACCCTGACTCGCGGTTCGCTCAATATCACTTGTACGGGGCAGAGGCGAATGCCCTGCGACGGTGGCTTCGGAACCGGGGGACGAGTCCTGTCCGACGGCAGCATCTGTGGCAGAACCAGGGCTGATTGACACTTGTGCACCGTGGACAGGGCAGTTGGGGCAAACAACAGATTCGACAGCTTCAAAGTCTTGCATGGCGGCGGCCGGAGGGCTGCCGGATCCGCTCGACGACCCAGATGCCCGCCGCTCGTATTCTTGTTGCAGCTCTGAGCGCGCTCGATCGAGGGAGAAAGCTTGGTCATCAGAAGATGAGGCAACGGGGGAAAAGGCAACACCTCTGGACGCAGACCGAGGCTGTGGGCGCATCTTTGTCCTGTCCATGGCAGTCGGCGTCCTGGATCGTTCACGCACCCTCGAGAAATGTGGTTCCCTTTCCTCGGATGTCGATGCAGATCTGGAACGATGATCCATGCGGGACATCGGCCTCGGTGAGTTTTGCACTCCTGGGCGCGCAAGACTGGACTGAGGGCGAGCCATCTCAGTGCCAAAAATGCTGGGGCTTGCCCCAATCAAGATGGATGCAGCGGCTTCGGTGGGACGGCTTCGGCTACAATTGCGTGACTTGGGCGAGCTGGGCCTGTCGGGAATGGGAGACTGCGTCTCTTCATTACGGAACCGATTGGCCGATTCTGCTCGCTGCGATATGCCATCCAAATGCTGCGATACGGCCGCTGCCATATCGCGGTGAGCCAGGCTTGAATTCGAACGTTCATGATTTCTGTTGCGGCTGGCATTTCGTGACTTTGGGGATGAAGGACGCGAAGGGTGGTTGTTTTGTCCGTTGAGGTCATCCGTTGCAGTTGTAGGACCCTGACTCATCGGAGGAGATCTGCTAGAGCTCCTTTCTCGTGATTTGAGCCTATTCGAGTAGCGCTCATCTTTCCTGGATGTGCGCGTAGTACTGCTCGACCGCATCGTGTTCGAGCTGTGCGTCCGCTTGACCGGTTCAGGTTGCGGTGTTGGAGCATTAAAGGCTTTGGGGGTCCTCCTTCCCACAGGGGACGGCGCAAACGGTGGCCAATCGTTAGGATCAACCGGAGTGTGTAATGCAGCGTCAATAGGGGTTCGAATCGAAGAGGACGAGGGCCGCCAGAGATAGCGACTGGCTATCGGCGACATGTCGTCAAAGGGAGTGATGGGACTGAACGAATCCTCTGTGTGGGTAATTGTAACCTCGCCCCCGTAAATCTGCATGTCCGGGATTGGTCTGGGGTAGCCGCTTAGGGGTAGACCACTGTCGGGATAGGGAGTGCTTTCTGCTGGGGGCCTCTCATTCGATCTGATCGATTGGTTTGAGCGAATAGACTGAACCGACTGGACCGACCGAACTGAATGTGTTGACTGCGTACTCATAGGTTGCGGGCTATTGGCTTCCGCCCAACTGCCAAATGGCGGCGACTGCGGAATGATTAATTTAGGCCGAACAGCCTGTGGAGTGGGACTCGGTGCAGTCGGTGTTGGTATGTCATGGGAACCAGTGGATTTGGCTGATGTTGCTGATGTGGCCGAGACTGGCTCTCGGCGTTGGGGGTACTGAGGGATTTGAATCTGCGGGCTCGGTCTCGTGCGTTTCGAAGATGTCGCCGTCGTGTTGTTCATGGCACTACCGATGGCGGCTTGTGAAGTGGGAGGGTTGGTTGACGATAATGGCTCCTTCGAATCCTCGCCCTTTGGCGAAGACTGCGCCTCTCGAGAGTTTGATGGCGGTTTTTGTCCCGGCGCTGGCGATTGCGACATCTTCTGTAGTTCGCCTTGTGCCGGTTCTGAACTGTCGGCATCCGGGCGGTACAGGAGCTTGGCGTACGGAGGATTGTCGGTGTCGACCACGAGAAGCTCCTTTTCTCCTCGACCAAGCAGGCCATAGACCTTGACCTCGCCATCATGAATCCCAACAACTGCACTCGTCCCGGCGTAAACAGCTTCGTCTTCAGTGCCTGTACGGTTGCAGAACACAACAATGATCTCCTCATCATTCTCAGCCCTGATGAGGGGCTCCAAGCGGGTGACCCAGTAGGTCAAGGTCTCCATGTCAGGCTCGTTAGGCATACGACTGAACATCCTGCTATCCTCGCGTGTCATCCAGGCCATAGAGACAATGACGAAGTTGGAGGAGTACTCGAGGACGTGAAAGGCAAACTCGAAGGCGTGCCAAGGTGCTTGAAACTTATGGGGGCTAAAAGAGGGTTAATTCAGTAAAAAGATGTCGGGAGTAGAAGAAACTCACTTCAGGTCCATACCTGCAAACAAGGAGTGTCAGTCGACTGTCTTCACCAGCAGATGTCCACGCACGAGATACTCACAGATGCCCATCGACGTGTGGCCAAGGCCCGGGATGTATCCTTCGAAAAACCCAGTATCACCTTCCAGCGCCCATGTCTCATCGGTGTAATACAGGAAACTTTTCCTATAATTTGCAACCGTCTCGCCGTCTCCATTGACAATGATTGCAGAGTTGTAATACTCAGGGCCGGTTGGCCATTTGGGTGAAGGGTCAACTTTCTCCGGGTACCCAGCAGCGACAATACAGTTGTACTTCAGTGCAGTGGTGCGAGCCCATAATGCCGTGATTCCGGAGCCGGATGGTTCGAGATATGGTGCGATATGTTCTAAGGACTTGAAGTTGTAGCCTGGAGGGAATTGTTAGTCACGCCATGATGCACATGTGCTGCTCGCGCGACCACGGTCAAAGTCGCCTTGTTGGACTCTGGTGCTCCATGTTGTTGCCGGGCGCATTGGGAATTTCTTCCTCCCGAACCAGTCCACGTACCTGAAAAGGCCATTTCAGGCAGGACCAGAAGATCGAGTTCCTCGGGATTCGCTCTGCTCAGGACAGCATCGGCGCGGTTGAGGTTATTGTCGACATCGCCGACCTGCGGCGCGAACTGAACACAACCGATCCTCATCGTGAAACTCGACCAAACTCATGGACTGACTGACACAAGATGTTGCGACACGAGTCTCTCTGTAAGGAAATGACGAAAGACAGGGAACGGTCGCGCGCAACAGTCTTGGTGCGAAAAAGATAAACCACAACAACAAACGTCAGCACAAGATCACGATACTATTTCGAGGTGTGTTCAAGATGGGCAAGAGGCGATATATGGGGGTAGGGTCAGAGAGAGAAGGGGAGTAGACCAAAATGGCACGTTGGGGGGGCGGGGAACTGGCAAGCAACGGGTGTGGGCGGAAGTCCATGAGGCTGAGGGGCCGTGGTCGCGGCCAACGAGAAGTCGACACTAACCGCCCATCTCACCTATCTGGCCCCGGACCACATCCCACGATCAGCCTGTCCATGCCCCCCGGTCAAGTGTGACGCCTGACGCGAGGCATGGCCACTCACGAGTTGCTTGTCATGCGGGATGGCGCCAACAACTGGAGACGATGTGCGGGCATTTGGCTTAGGGTGCAGCTCCCTGAAGCCAATATGCCTACCACTCGTCTAGCGCTTCGCGTCACTGCCGCCCGCCAATGTCGTCGCTAACACTCGGACGCAGACCGCTTCGCCGTGCTGTGATATCCGTCGTACAACGCAACGGCCGTTGGAGGTAGTGTGAGCCCCTTTCCGCACCCAACAGATGCAGCCAGCTCGAGTGGCCTCACTTTCAGGAGCAGAAGTTACCAGCCAACATCAGACATGCCGTCAAGCTAAGAAAAAGCACCAACGATTCGCTTACTACTAGTAGCTGCTGCTAGATGGTACTTTCGTGAATCGTCACATTGGAGAGCTGGCGGCATTGTTAGGGATAGTTCCTAGGTAAGGTCAGGTAGGTAGGTAGGTAGGCAGGGAGAGGGGGAGAGAGCAGATGACCTCGGAAGGAAGCCCTGGGCGGTCTCATTTGCAGCCCTGGTTCCCTCCTGTCTCCAGCGCAATTCCCAAGCCTTTGGGTGAAAGTGGATCCACGCCGAAGGAGCGCAGGTTCCAACGTATTCATTGGCTGGTCCAGTACTGGCCTGTGAGCTCATTGGCCTCTATCACGCGTGATGGCAAGGGTCTCTCTCTCATCCAATTGCTGACATGCACCCACCTACCTTAGGCGCCCTTTATCAACGTGCTGCACGTTGTTGCTTCCAAGAGGGAGCCTTCTAGGCACTAATGAGGAAGACTCGAGTACATGTAGGCAGGTAGCACTTGTTTACCATTGCTGTGCGGGGAGTCGGACATGATGCTTGAGCTGCTATGCCGCCCAGTTGCTGGCGTCTCGAGCACCCGCATGGCGGATGAGCGCCCCTCGGCGAGATGCCCAGCACACCTCGACATCGTCCTGAGCTCTACCATTCTCCCCACTAGCGTGAAGCGGCAACCAGAATCAGCGCCTCAGCACGTGCTCCGTCCTCCCTGTCTGATCAGCGATGTCACCAGATGTCCTGCACACTGGTTGGTGCCTCTAACAACTTCTTCCGCGCCGAAAAAGTCGGTGAACTACCAGGAAGGGACAAGCAGTGCTCTATCGAGGAAGTGAAGTTTCATGTGCCAGGCACTTAGCAAATCCTTTCTTCACCCTCGCCTAGGAACACTCAGCCAGTATTGGAGCCTTAGACACGCCCCTGGGATCAGTACTTCTCTGTTTTCTCCGGCCCCCTGTCACCAAGCCTGGTATTGTCATTGATGTACCTGAACCCGAAGAAGGCGCGCCTATCCCGTTTCTCACTGCATCAACGTCAGTCATGTGACGACACGAGCATCATCAGAACCCTGATTACTCACTTGGTCAAGGTCATGGTGGCCACATCCTCCTCCGCCTCAGTATTGTAGCCCCACGAGACGCCCCAGTTGCTCCCCTCGCACGGCTTATCAAAAAAGCTTATCTTGCCTGGGTCCTGCCCCTTCTTGCCGCTATGTGACACGACACACAGGACAGAGTCAAAGTCGGGATGCTCAATGGTGAAGATGAGGGCCATGCCAGGCTTTTCCTCAGACTGCATGACATCTGCGTTGTGTGAGTGGCCACGTCTGCGTTCTCAGTGGCTGTTTATTGCTTTTCACGTACAGCGATACACATCCCCAAGCGACCATTCGGACGCGTACTCCAAGCTGTCCTCGCTGCTGCGAGGCACAGAACGCACCAGATCAGGTGGGTTCTGGAAGATTTGGTCGTTGTCGTCGCTGCCCATCGCGGATCCCGGCATGAACCTGGTGATGTCCAGCCACGTGGTCCCGTTCTGAGCCAGGGCACGCCACGACGGTTTGCCTTTGGCATCCCAGGCGATGATCGTCGTGGTAGCGTCTTGGTCGCCCCAGAGGCGAACAATCTCTGCATTGTCCGCCTCGTGACATGGCATCGTCGGAACATCAACCTCGGCGCCCTTTGTGTTCTCTAACGCCTGTCTCTCCGGCGGTCCCTCGATGCTGAAATCGCAGAACAACGGACGAGTGCCATCCGTGGACGTCATGAGTTGCTCCCAGTTACAGCGGTTCTCTGCGGCGGAGCATACTCGGCGGCTCAGGAGAATGATGCTGAGCCCGGGCTTGGCTTGTGTCTGGTAGCCAGGTGGCAGTATATGGGCGAAGCCACGACAGACGAAGCTGAACAGACACCAAACGGCAGCGAGCATCGTGATCCTCAGTACACAGCAAGAGAGCAACGGCAAGGAAGTGATGGGCAAGTGTCGGAGCGATGACCGTCTACAGAGGTCTGAACATTGTCTATATACTCACGGAGAACACTCAAATCGCAATGCTGAATCCTAGAGCGAGAGGCAAGCGGTGTTACGCAAGCATAGCTGCTTCCCACTGGGCTAACAATATGAATGCAAGCTTCCACGACGCCGTCGTCAGCAACGGGAAGCTTCTGTCCAACAAGAGACAGGCCACAATTCACATGCTCGCACAACAGCAACATGGCTCGTTTGTATGCTATGTTTCGGCTGCATCAGTGCCCTCAACTGCCAAACTATGGGCTAAGCACGGGTCATCTAACGAGAGCTCTTCTGAAGGAGACTGCCAGAACGAGATGCCTTTTCGCTTCATGTTCCGAGGTCTGAACTCCAAGAATAGGGCAAGACAGATCTCTGTCTAGATGGACAGACCACGCGATTCATCCATGTCAGGGAAAGTAACTCACGGGATCTTGGAGGGGCCAAGCAAAGACACGAGAACTGGCATCACCCCTTCTCAAAAGGAGCCCTGTCAGGTTGACTGGTAGTATGGTGCGCGAGCATCCTCTGTTGTGGGGACACGAGTATCACGCAGCAGTGAACAAGTGCTGAGCAGAGTGATACGATATGACCGAAAGGGCTCGAAAGAGTCCACAGGGTCAACTTTTAGACCATGATTGGATCTAGGCCGTAGGACATGCGAGGCTGGCAATGTTGAGGTCGATCGATGACCGGATTGGACCTAGACAGAATCTTCGAAGACGACCTCGAATTGGAGATCGCTTGGTCGACGGGGTCGCACAGGCCTGAATCGATCTGTTGCCATCCGAATCATGTCGCACGGTTGTTTGTCTTTGTGAAACAGTGATGCTGGGGCCCGAAGAATATGATCATGGTGGCCATACGGCATAGCCAAGTGGTGAAGTATCTGGCCGTCATCGGTCTTGAGTCTGTTGGAGAGCGAAAAGGCAGAGTGTGTTATGGGCGTGTCAAAGTCAAAGAAGGCCGAGTCAAGGAATCATGGCTAGATATATCCTCAGAGATACCCATCCGGCAGCTGCAACCTAAAAATATATCCCGAGTCAAAAGCAACTACCGAAAGACATGTTGCCAAAAACAAATTTGACGGCGCAGTGGTTCTGGGGTCTGGAGCTGGAGCGCGCGGCAGGGTGGCCTGATTTTGCAACAGCAGATGACGAATATGATGATCTGTGAGTCGTTTCCCGAGGTAAAATCACGCGCCTGGATTCGTAGAGAGAGAGAGAAGCGGAGTGGGTGACTCGCAGTCGGCACTTGCGAGAGTGGGTTGGATGGTGAGGTGGAGGGGAGAGAAAGATGGCAAATAGATTAAAGTGGAATGGAGAAGAGGAGAGGAGATAGCGGGAAATGCAGCCACTGTCACACTCGCTACTATTTGTGGCTGTCCTTGCCGCGCTGTCGGCTCCAGGCCCGCCGTCAGTGGAGAGACAACCGCCAGCGCGGTAACGAGACTCTCAAGCTTCTAATGTGGAGCTGCCAGATCGTTCGAGGTGGAACCCCATGAAGGTTCAACGGTCGATAAGCAGGCCTCGCTGGCACCGGGAGGCCCCAACCGGTGGCCTGCCGGTGTTTTCGAGGTCAGGTATCAGTTGAAGGCACTGGCCGACTGGCTAACTACACATCGTTCTTTACTCGTGCGAAGCACCTCATTGGCTCAGGACAGGGTCATTTGGGAAGAGTCCGTTGGATGCATCCATGATGGAGCAAGGTGCGAGGACAACTTTTGGACACGTGCGAAGCTGGGTGTGGCGAGAAGACATTGTCAGGAGGGAAAGGAAGGGGGAAGGCTAGGAACAGAATGGCCTGATTTCCCCGCTCACGTCGCTTCAAAGGCTGGGCAGACTGGCATATGCAGTCAGTCAGATTACAGACCGAAAGAGGCCAGCGGGACGGGAAGGTCAGGCCGGATAATGCCAGCCACCATGTAGGCCAAAAACCCCCTCCATTCGAACGACGTCTTGGCGCGCCAAAAAGCGTAGAGGGTGGAGGGGTGGCCGCGCCGAGCGGCCAGCGCCTGCAAGAACCATTCATCCTGTGCTGTTGCGTTTCAACCTCCCCGCCCTTTCTCGCCGTCTTTGCCCAATGGCAACAGTTCGTTTCCCCTCATCCTTGTCGATCTCGTTGACTTTGGCGCCCGGAATCCCGCCAACGGCCCCTCATTGGTTCGACCCGATCGCGTCGAGAAGGAAGTAAGGGCGCACAGAGCCGTCATTGGATAGCTACCATGCCACTCATCTTGGGCGTTCGGTCGGACCCTGGCGATTCTATTCTCAGCAACACATGTGCTTTCCCTACTCGTCTCCCGCTAGATTCTCGATGTTTTTGAGTCGGCTGCACTTTGGCCATCCGGCTGGCCAGGCGGGTTGGCAGCCTGCCTAGCTCCACGAACCACACCAAATTTACACGCCCACCTCTGCTTGCAGCACACTTGCAGTAGCCATCCTTGCAATCTGAATGTTCGCTCCGGAAGTCTGCAGCTCGTCCACGTTCTGGCATATATCTCCATCTCCTCCCACAAGCGACCATGGGTCCGCTCGAGATGAAGCCTCTTCCACCTGGTCAGCCTCGTGGCCATATACCTCTTGCGGACAGACCTTCTCGCCTTGCTCTACGCCGATGAAGCCCTCTTGTGCCGGCTTGGTAATGATCTCCAGAACTTGACATCAACCGCCCCGACCCTTCGCCTCCCTTCCGGCTCCGCGCCATCTCCCGCCGCTCTCACTCTCCCTCCTCTCCTACGGTTTGCCATGGCTCCTCGACACATTGCACGGGCTTTGGGCCTGCTGTCGCTCGCCTCGAGTGTCCTATCATTATACGTCACACCCGAATCCGACTGTGCCGCGTTATGCCTGGGAAGCGCGAATGAGACGATAAGCTCGACGGAAGCCTCCGTCTCCGCATCCGACATTGCTTGCAGGGATGCCGAGTACAGTTCCTCCTCATCAGGAATCAGGTATCGCAACTGCATTGACTGCTTGAGCAAGAGTCAAGAAACGGACGGCGAAGAGAGTGACCTGCAATGGATGCTGTGTAAGTGCAAAGCCTAGTGCTCCCACACCTAGCCCATGCTAACAAGTCACGCAGACAACATGCGCTATGCGTTGAATACATGCCTCTTTGACGATTCAACAGCCGTCAATTCACCATGCATCATCAACTATGCGTGCGAGCCACTCGAAGACGCCCTGAGAACAGGCCTATCAACCCCCGGCGAGCAGAACTTCGACTATTGCACGGCGGACGAAGGCGCCTTCTCAAAGAAATGGCATTGGTCCTGTGTCTCATGTCTCAAGAGCAGCGGGACGCAGGTCTATCTATCCAACTGTAAGTATCCGTTCGCTCGAGCACCCTGGTGTAACCTATTCAGACTGACCCGTGGGACAGTCCTTCAAGCACTTAAAGCCGGCTGCGAGCAGAAGCCTGAGCTTGGAGATGTGCTCACTATGCGCGGAGAGATCTTCTCCAACACACTGCTGAACATTACCGTGACCAACACCACTCTACCTGGCGAAGGAGGAGCTGATTCGTCCACCATGACAACGGGTACCTTGGTTGGTATCGGCGTCGGAGGCGGTCTCGGCCTTCTGGGAGCCATCGCACTCACAGTCGCTTGCTGCCGTCGCCGAAAGAAGAGAAAGGCCGCGGAGAAGGACGACCTTGACCGAACGCCCCCACCGGACAGGAGCAATGCAAGCTCCTTCACGGCCATCAACCACAGCCCGTTCCTCCGAGACCACAAGAAATCACCTTCTATCTCTACGGAGTATGAGCTTCAGGAGAAGCAAAAACATATTAACAATGCCGACTACTACGATAGGATGGAGGAAGAAGCGCGAATCGGCCGCGCCAAAGCGAGCTACAACTTCGATCCCCGCCTTTCACAGCATGGTCCCGGCAGTGCCATGCCCACACACCCGGCGTATAACCCCCGTATGACCATGAGCCAGCCTGCAAAGTTGTCATCGCTTGCGCCTGCCCCGCAACGGTCCAGAGCGAACACGCCCGACTCCTACGCTCTCCAAGCCTATCTTAATGCCGCTGAAGACGGAGTCCCAGGCGCTATGCCACGCTCCAGATCACAAACCCCATCTGGCCGTGGCTCACCACCTGCCTCCACTGGACGCTCTTCCGCAGAGCCCCCGGTCACCGGTACCAGCACCACCCGCACAGCCCAACAGCTCCCCGGCGGGATCCCCCCTCCGCCCCCGGGCCCCCCTCCTTCTCAAGCGCACGTCGCGGCGTCCAAGACTCGCTCCACGAGGGCGCCTTCTCTTGTGCTCCCCTCTCTACCTCGCATCCGCATGCCCAAGAGGTACGCACCCCCGACTATCAACGTCGAGGGCGCCACTCCGGTCGACGGCGACCGTCATCCGGCCGATGATATGCAAATATCTGAGCCCATTGCCCTCCACGAGGCGCGTTTCACGGACAAACCTCTTGGCGGACCCGTCGTTCTCGCTGATTCGGCACCGAAGAGGAATATCGACCCCAGGGTGTATGAGAATGACCAGCCGATCAACAGCGGCAAGAGCACGCTGTTCGGGTGGTCGGGGAATTAGGGGAGTTTCTACGTAAACCGCTTCAATAGGGATCTTTTTTTTGCAGGGTAGGCTTTCTTGATTGGAGTTTGGGGGTAGGACTTTTGTGTATACAGCCAGCGTGGCGTACTCTTCAACGGACAGATTCACGATAAATACGTGGACTACAATTTTGAAATGGTATTCATTAATTCATCTTGATCTCTCTATCGTTGTGTATGTGATATGCTGTGCTTCACCCAACGCCTGCTGATGCTCTAATCCCCGAGACGCCTGCCAGGACCCCTGGTCCTCCATGCTTCGGGAAGGGGGCCGCCTCCGGTGGCGGCGCCAGTTGTGCGCCCGGTCGATGGCTCAGCGGCTCGCGGACGAATAGCAGTGCCAAAGTTGCGCTCCAGGATGCGAGGCGTCTCGATGAAGCGGGACAGGAACCCAGGCGTGGGCAGCAGGTTCCGCCCGCCGGTAAAGGTCGGGTAGATCCTCGTCAGGAAATCGAACAGGTGGGCGGCGAAGAAGCCAATGAGCTGCATGAGGAACGTCATGGCGCCACCGGGAAACAGCAGAGACATGAGCATCATGGCAAAGGGCATGAGTTGGGCGGGAATAGTGATGAAGTAGATGCTGGCCTTCTGGCCGCGCTGGTCTTGGGTCACGGTGCGGCACATGGCGAGGATAAGGGCCGAGAGGAAGAAGCCGCCGCCAAAAAGCCAGGAGGCTATGGTCTGCGAGGAGAGGATTAGCTCAACTCGGAAGCTTTTACTGGGTTTCAGATCTTGTATATCGATCGATCATGGGACAGGAAAGAAGGTGCCCGCAGGCGAAAAGATGTAGGGAGCGTATAACAACCCGAGCAACATTGAATCGCTGCCCGAGACATCGAATACGCTTCCCACCATGCCCACGCCGCAGACCAAGCCCTAATGAGGTAGCGGACCGGCTGTGCCGTGGGGGTGATCTTCCTCGTTTTCAGGAACCGCTGTAGCTGTGGGGATACACCACGCGGGCAGATAGACGAGGTGATTTTGTCATGTTGGATAAATGAAGAACACAGGTCACAGGGAAGAACACAATGGGGCAAGATGAGCAGGCAAAGGCTTACCGTGATGACGCCGCCAACAAACAGGAGGTACCATATGACATCCTCCTTCTTGGAGAAGCGAGGGTTGCCGACCTCAAGGGCGCTTGTGTAGTTGTACAGAAAGTACGTGTCAAACAGCAGGCTTAGCTGGGGACCAGTGACGAGGAAGTTCGACCAGATCCTCCAAGCTTGGGGAGGAAAAGTGAAAAGTTTTTCGGGCATGAACGTAAGCCAATGCGCAGGGAGAGCCCCCAGGTATACGGATATCGAAGTCACGAATGCTGCCGTTGCGACGGTTCTGTGCCTGTTAGCGACGGTCATGGAAGGTGATGCGCAGAGAGGGATGCTTACCTGGCGATGGGCGGGGCCCGCCAGTAGCCATCCAACATGTCCGACGACATACTGGCAAGCGAGGTCAATCAAATGCAATTGAAGACCTTTCAGAAAGTGAAACAGAGTCCGTGATGACTTGATTGTAGTTGTGAAGAGATAGAGCACAACCAGCTGGGCGGATGGCAACAAGCTGGTGCGGACAGTCCAAGGGCCAAGGCTCAAGTTTTGGTGAAACTGTGTCCTCGGAAGGTGAGGATGGCAAAAGAAGGAAGAAGAACACGACGCGCCATAAAAAGGGCAGGAGCCTTTTTTCTGCCGTGGAGAGCTCCCCACAGCTCCCGGTTTAGGTGTAGGCGGTGAATCACTATAACCGACATCGGATTGGTCGACATTCGCCTCTGCGTCAGTATTTTGTCGATAGACTGGGCAGCGCCCTTTGGATAAGGATTACTAGTAGATCTTGGAATATACCGTGTAGAGAAAACATTGCACAGACATCACTCCTTTGTCTGAACCACCGACGCTATGTCTTCCAAATCAGTGAGCCCGCGCTGGGCGGCCATGGCTCGTGACACCAACGAGACCAAGATTCAGATTGCCCTGAACCTCGATGGCGGGGACTTCCCACCCGACACCGACTCGCGGTTGACATCTGCTAAGGAGGAAGGCCATGCCTCTCAGGCGAGCAAGTCGCAGATTATCAGCGTCAACACGGGCATCGGCTTCCTCGACCACATGCTGCACGCCCTGGCCAAGCATGCTGGCTGGAGTCTGGCGCTGAACTGCAAGGGCGACCTTCACAGTACGTGTGCCCCTCCATTGCCCCTCCATCCGCCACTTGAACTCTTCAGATGCACAACGAACGGACCAAACAGTAGACTGACCATAGCGATCAATAGTTGACGACCACCACACTGCGGAAGACGTTTGCATCACCCTCGGTTACGCTTTTGCCCAGGCCCTCAACAGCATGGCTGGTCTGGCGCGCTTCGGCTATGCCTATGCCCCTCTGGACGAGGCCCTCTCCCGTGCCGTCATCGACCTCTCCAACCGCCCCTACAGCGTCATCGACCTCGGCCTCAAGCGTGAGAAGATTGGCGACCTTAGCTGCGAGATGATCCCCCACTGCCTGCAGAGCTTCGCTCAGGGTGCCCGCGTCACCCTACACGTCGACTGCCTGCGCGGCGAGAACGACCACCACAGGGCCGAGAGCGCGTTCAAGGCGCTAGCGATTGCGGTGCGCCAGGCCACTACCAAGGTCGCCGGCAGGGAGGGCGAGATTCCTAGCACCAAGGGCACCCTGAGTGCATGAGCAATATACCATCTCCGAATCGGGACGAAGGCATGCTCTAGCCGGATCTCTACTCCTCAACACGGTGATTCACGCTGTGGCCCCGATTGATGTCCGTGGTGTCTCTCATTAATCTTGATCATCCATCTGACGAGTAGTAAAGCCTGCCCGACTCGGGTCCTGAACGCCATGCTGTCCTTAAACATACAATATCCATATCCCATATCCAGTACACTCAATGATGTATGTAGCAGGTAGTCCCCAAAACAAAATCCAACCCAATAACCCAGTCATTCAAGGCTTGACATTCTCCTTGTTGAGAATATTGTTTACTGCCCGCCGTTTTTCAGCTTTCCGCTGCTCGATTCGAGCGATGGCGGCTGCCCGCCTTTCAGGCGGAATAGCGCTCCTTGACATGTTGGCTCCTAGCATCGTGCTGGCCTCGGCATCTGGCACGCCGAGACGGGCGAACCGGTTTTGCAGTAGATCGATATCGCCGTGGTCTCTATCCAAGAATCGATGTCGTGGAGCAGGCGTTGCGCCCGAGGGAATGGCGCTCGAGATCTGAATCTGCTGGTTGATGTCGGTGCCAAGGCGCTCTCTGTTACGAGGGGATCGGGGGATAAATGGTTTCCAGCGTGGCCTTTCGAGTTCGACTCTGTCTTCCAGAATGTTGAAAGTAGGCTTCGACGGCTCTTCTCCTGTTGCCTTGGACACTCCATCGTCTTGTTCCTTGAGTCGGCCTCCTAGGTCATGCAATGGCCTTTCGTTCAGCTTTTTGCTCAGGGACTGTACCAAATCAAAGCTTCCCTTCCTTGCCTCAACTACAACATCTTCTTTGTCGACTTGTGTGAGGGCAGGTTTCGTCTGTGACGGACGGACGGGATCACTCGCCACACGCGTGGCGGGCTTCACTTCGGCAGTTGTGAGTGATGCCCCGTGCTTCAGCATCCTAATCTCCCTCTTCAGATCAGAGATCTTGTCCGTTGCAGTCTGCAGAACACGTTTCGTCTCCTCCTGGCGCGCTGTGGTCTCGATTCGGAATGATTCGTACTCCTCTTTTAGGCGACGCATCTCTTCGTCCTTGCGGCGGATTTCCTCCCGCGCCTGTGTCAGTTCAGCATCAGCTTCATGAGATGAGCTGGTCGCTGCCCGTGCATCGCTTTTCGTTGAGGCAGAGGCGTGTTGCTCGGCCGCACGGAGCTCAGCCTTGAGTTGCTTGACCTGCGCGCGAAGGTCGCCGTTCTCTTTGACCTGCGTCCGGGCCCTCCTCAACTCGCGCTGCGTTTCCAAGAGCGTCTTCTGTGTTCGTGGTGACGCTGCTTGCCTGCGGCGTCTGCTGTGTGTGTCCGCGTCGTCGTCTTCCGGCTTATCAGTCATCAAGGATTCAACCTGCTTCAGCTGATCCCTGTACTGAACAGCAAGGGCCGTCTGTCGCGCCAGGTCCTTCATCAGCTGAGGGTTCTCGCCTTCATCGCCGTCGAGTCGTCGCGTGGCCATTTGCGCGGCCATTTCCGTGATCTTTTCCTCCATCTTCACAATCTTCTCCTGCTCTTCTTTGAGCTTTTCGTTGAGATCAACGGCCTCTGCGTCCTTCATCTTGGCGTAGGATTTTGCGAGTTGCTTATACTTCAGCAGTTTCTCCATCTCGGCCCGCGCGTCGTGGTGGTACTGTTCGAATTCCGACTTCCAGTACTTGCCTGACCTCGAAAAGGGCTCGTTGAGGTCAACTGTGATGTCGTGCATGCAGTTATCGTCGTCGTCAGCCTCCTCCCACTCCTCCTCTGAGCTGTGGCCGTTGGCGTTCCTCCTAGCTGGCGAGGAACCGGAGGTGGAGTTCGAGCGGCGTGACTTCTCCATCGTCTCCGTTAACCGGGTGCGCTTTGATGCCGAGCCCTCGTCTTGCGGGGTGAATGAGCTAGGGAATTTCCCATGGTTGTTGTCGCGCGATCGGCTCTTTCCACGTGTCGGGTCAACACGGTCTACAGTGTTGTGGTCAAATGACACGCGCTTGCGACGAGACGTGCCGGTGCCAGGTGTCAATAGGATTCCTTGCGGCTTCAAAGGGGTCCTTGAATCTTCGTCGTCCATTCTCGATTCGGTCGTCTGCTGGGCTAGTTGTGAAAAGTTGGGCGCGTTATCCTCGACGCGCGCTGGTGTTCCGAAGATGGCGCTCTTCAGGGCTCGAGCAGCGAAGACTGGTGCTGGCGTGTCTGGCTGTTCGACAAAAGTTGTTTCATCTGCGAAGAAGGATTTTAGCTCACGAATGCGGATTCGTTGCGACTTGGAAGTTCATCGCACCCGTCGCGACAGCTCTGGTGTCTCCAGACGCGCCCTCCAGGCCTTTCCTGAGCACCCAGCCGAGCATCGTAAGGCGGTGGTATCAACAGGCCGAATGACCATGCGATGTACAATCGAAAGCAAGTATCTGACGCGCTTTTCAAGATGGGTTGTCGCAAATATTGTCGGGGTCGTGGGGTGTTTGTAATGGGGAGAATCTGGGGTTCGGTCTCATCGAGGCCTGGTGTATTGTTTACTTGGTTACCCCAAACGGCTAGAGGAGGAGTCGCGAAAGGCCTCCAGCGTCTAGAGGCTGTAGTCCTTTTGATTGGCAGGCCTGCGTGTCGAATTGCGGGCCGCCGGGCAGAACCACGTCACACAGGGAAGGCCGCTGCCCTGCAACGACCCCGCTATTATCAGCTGGGCTGGTAGCGCTTTGCAGCCTAAGGGTCCCTTGTGCAGGGTGCTGATCTCAAGGCCAGTGGAAGTCTCGACATGTGGGTGACGCTTTGCTCATTCAACACCACTTTTTACCTATTATCAGTCACCAGTACACTTACGAAAATGAGCTTCCCACAGTAAGGACTCACAGCTTATGCTGTGAGACCCCTTTCGCTCCCTTCATCGTCTCATAATGGCGTGGAAATCATCTGGGGCGTGGAACAAGCCCATCATCAATCTGCCCAAGCCCGCCAAAGATGACTCGAGCTTCCCTGGCCTCAAGGTCACGAGCCCAGAAGCCGCCGGCACCCCGAAAATCGAGTATGAGGAGCTGCAAGAGAACGAGCTCATGGTATTGGAGGCCATTTACGGTGACGACTTCGTGAAGCACACAGATACGCAGAGCGCTTGGAAGGTACCTACTTGATAAACGATAGCACCGGCTTGACGCTCTTGACCTCAACGAGTCATCGCTGACTATGGACAGAAATCTGAGCCTTCGTTTGATATCCGGATCCGGGCTTCTTCGGACGATGAATTTGTCGTTACGTTGGGCGTGGTGCTCACCGCCACTTATCCCAAAACCCCGCCTGTCCTGACGCTCAAAGATGCTGATGACATTCGCGATGTCACTCAGTTCAAAATCCAGAAGTATCTCGAAACCAAACCCAAGGTCTTTGCTCAAGAACAACAGGAGATGATAGACCGTATAGTGGAGGGGGTTCGTGAGATACTCGAGGATGCCTCTCAGGCCAAGGCCAAGGGGCATAAGTTGCCTTCGTTGGAGCAGGAGCGTGCAGCCCATGAGGCAGCACTCGCCGCGCAGGCGCAGAAGCAACAGCAAGCTGAGGAGCGCAAACGGGCGGAGGAGAGCAAAGAGGAAGAGAGGGTCCTCGGTGGTCTACTCCAGGAGGAACTGAAGCGCCAAAAAGACAAGGCCAAAGAATCCAGGAGGAAGAGCAAGCCCAACGGGTTTGGGTCAGTCCCGCCCATGGGCATCGGCCATGACCTTGAGGACGGCCAGATTATCTTTGATCAACCCTGTCGTGCCACTGATAAGACGGGCAATGAAATCTTCTTCCAGGCCGTCTCGGACAAGACTGAGCACGCCAAGGGGCCCATCTCGACAGTCTTCGATGTGCGGCCCGTGTTACCCAATGGCCAAGAGCGTCCGTTGCTGGCTCTCAAGGAGACGCGGCTGCGGACAGCCGGCAAGGACACGTCTGTTTTCAAGAAGCAGATCCAATCCCTAGAGTCACTGCTTGAGTCCCTGAAAGCTGTCCGCCACAAGAATTTGCTGGATGTGCTTGATTTCAGGGTGGATCGGGAACAGGAAAATGGAGATGGAAAGGCGCCAAGCCTTTGGACATTTACAATCCTGACCCCTTTGGCAGAAAAGGGATCTCTCGAGGAGCTTCTCGACCTTGCCGGCCATCTCGAGGTTGGCAAGGTTCGCGCATGGACCAGAGACCTTTTGGATGCCCTCAACTTCTTGCACAACAAATCTGTGGTGCACCAAGACATACACACGGGCAACATTCTTCTCTTCCGTGAGCCTACGGGTGAAGTTGTCCCCAAATTGGCTGATGCCGGATACCAGCGAGAGCTGCACGGCATGTCGGCCAAAGCGCGAGCTCTACCTGGGCTTGCCTCGGCCCGATCCGCATATTGGTTGCCGCCTGAGATCGCTGCCGTCTCACGGCCAAACTACACTGCCAAGACTGATGTCTGGGACTTTGGAGTTGTCTTTCTGCAGATGATCTTCGGTTTGGATGTGCCAAACAAGTATCATGCACCTGCGGCACTGCTCGAGGCACTTTCCCTTTCCAACCCCCTTCAAGAACTCACGACGAGATTCTTCAAGCAAGACGTCAAAAAACGCCCGCGGCCCTTTGAACTGAGCTCGAGCGAGTTCCTGGCAACGGATGCACCAGTTTTGGTCCAAGAAAGAATATCGATTTCGAACAGTTACCATTCGAACGATTCCTCACAGATGCTCATGCCGAGACTGAGACGCGAGTCCACAAATAGAACCATGAACTCGTCGTCCAGGTATAGGGAAGACTTTGTCGAGGAAGGCCGCCTGGGCAAGGGGGGATTTGGTGAAGTTGTGAAGGCCCGGAAGAAACTTGACGGCCAGATCTACGCCATCAAGAAAATCAGTCAGCGATCACAGTCGAGCCTGACTGAGATTCTCAAAGAGGTTCGTCTGCTGTCACAATTGAGCCATCCTGCTGTCGTGCGATACTACAATACTTGGGTCGAGGAGATCCCTGACGTGTCAGAGTCGGAAGGCGACACATCAACGGATATGGGCACAGATGCCTCCATGGAGACGCTGTCTCAGCAGCCTGAAATTATGTTCGCCACAAGCACAGGGGGTCTTGATTTCATGTCGTCGAGCGGATACCCACAGGTTGAATTTGGGTATGAGGATTCAGACGGCCTTGAGGATGACGATGATGATGAAGATGACGACGAAAACGATGATGACGATGAAACCTCTTCGGACATGGAAGACGAACTTGCTCCAGCCTCGCCGATAATTGACAGAGAGCTGGGTGATGGTAAGAGGGCTCGTGTTCAGCGCGCTTATCGGACGGTGCTGTACATCTCCATGGAGTATTGTGAGAAACGGGTGAGTAGTGGGACTGGCACCGAGTTTCCCCTCGAGCCTGGGCTGAGTTTGCTAATCTGATATACCTGTAGACGCTTCGCGACTTGATTGCCAGGAAACTTTATCAAAACAATTCTGAGCTGTGGCGACTGTTCCGTCAGATATTGGAAGGATTGGCGCACATCCACGGTCTTAGCATTGTGCATCGCGACCTTAAGCCTGAGAATATCTTCATTGCCAGAAGCTCCGACGGGGTTGACAATGTAAAGATCGGAGACTTTGGACTCGCAACGAGTGGTCAATTTGCCGTTGATAGGGGCATTGCAAATGGCATGGAAGCAGACGATGTCACCAGAAGTATCGGCACTGCTTCGTATGCAGCCCCCGAGGTGCGTTCCGCCGCCAACGGGACATACAGCTCTAAAGTCGATGTAAGTACCACAGCGCTGAGTGACGAAGAAACTGTGCTAAAGTGTGGCAGATGTACTCATTGGGTGTCATTTTCTTCGAGATGTGCTATCCCCCGATGCTCGGCATGCAGAGAGCTGAAGTGCTCGGCCAACTCCGACGCTCGCCATCCATACTTCCCTCTGACTTCAAGCCCGCTGAGCGCACTCAAACCGAGATTATACTGTCTCTACTGACGCATAATCCAAAGGACCGGCTATCGAGCTTCGAGCTTCTCCAAAGCGGTAAGCTACCTGTACAGATGGAGAGCGAGACCATCAGGCGCACTTTGGCTGGATTGGCGGACCCGAGTTCTCCGTACTACAAGAAGATGCTCTCAACCTTGTTCTCACGGCCAGTTGAACAAGCCAAAGACTACGCATGGGACATGCACACGAGCCTGCCGAGCCAAGCCGATCTCCTCAACCAAAACATCGTCAAGAAGGCACTCATATCTATCTTCAGACGACACGGTGCTCTCGAGATGCCGAGGAGCTGCCTGTATCCTCGATCATCACATTATGCGGACAATGTCGTAAGGCTTCTCGACTCTAGCGGCACTGTCTTGCAGCTGCCATACGACTTGACCATGGGCCATGCCCGAGCGTTGGCAAAACAGTCAGGATCACCGGCGATACAGCGAACGTTTACCTTTGGCAATATTTTCCGCGACCGACAAGATACAGGACAACCCCAGATGCTTGGAGAGGTCGACTTTGACATTGTGACGACCGACACATTAGACCTAGCGCTAAAGGAGGCCGAGGTTCTGAAAGTACTGGATGAGATTGTGTCTACTTTCCCCTCGTTATCATCGACACAGATGTGTTTCCACATCGGACACTCTGAGCTCCTGCAGCTCATTTTTGAGTACTGCAGAGTAGAGCCCAGTTCTCGTCGCGCTGCGGCTGATGTCCTCAGCAAGTTGAATATTCATGGATTCACCTGGCAGAAGATTAGAACGGAACTCCGGTCTCCTTTAGTGGGCGTCTCGTCAACCAGCGTCGACGAGTTGCAACGGTTTGACTTCCGAGGTAGGTAGTCGGATAGTCGGACTCAGGATCGAAATGATGAGAGGCTCGAGCTGATAGGCTGTAGACACACCCAGCAAGGCGTTTTCCAAGCTCAAGACGCTTTTCGAAGGCTCTGATACCTATCAACAGGCCTCATCTACTTTGGCCCACTTGAAGGAGGTTTCCGAGTACGCGAAGCGACTCGGCGTGGTGAGTAAGATCTATGTCAACCCTTTGAACAGTCTAAAGGAGAGCTTCTATACCGGCGGTATTCTCTTTTCTTGTCTCTACGACAAGAAGATGAAGGACGTCTTTGCTGCCGGAGGTAGGTATGACAGCCTCATCAAGGAGCATCGGCCCAAGGTCGGTGGACAATATGAGGAGCGGCATGCTGTCGGTTTCAACTTGGCCTGGGAGAAACTGGCCCGAGTGCCCAAGACAGGAGGCAAAGCCTTCTTGAAGAAGACCGAAGAGGAGAACCAGAGCATCTTCACAGCAAGACGAGTAAGCATCAGCCAAGTCCCTACACCCACAGGTCGACCTGCTTATACAAGTCCAAAGTGCGACGTGCTCATCGCCAGCTTCGATGCCGCCGTTCTCCGAACTACGGGTGTGGAGATTCTACAGATTCTCTGGGCGCACAACGTCAGTGCCGAACTTGCAAAGGACTCACGATCGCCCGAAGACCTGCTCTCTAAGTACCGCGACGACAGCTACTCCTGGGTTGTCATCATCAAGCAGGATGCTATGCTCAAGGTCAAGAGTCTAGGAAAGAAGGATGTGCCCGATGTCGACATTGCCATGGCGCAACTGCTATCGTGGCTACGTGCTGAGATACGTGAACGGGATTCGAAGGCTGTCGTCAAGCTCCGAGGCAATCAACAGGCTGAAGCGGCAGCAGCTGCTGAGAACCATGTCGAGCAGGACGTGCGAGTCTTGGTGGCACAGACGAAGAGTAAGAAGTTCAACCGCCGAACTGTAGTCGAGCAGGCTCAGGTCAGCGCGTCCAGTTTGGTGCAATCCTTCCTGGACGGCCCGATCCTCGCCGTCGAGACAGCTGACCAAGTCATGGATTTGATACGGGCGACCAGCCTGTCCGATGGCGAAAGTTGGCGGAAGGTAGAGCACACGGTCACCACAGCCGAGAAGAAGTACGTCAGGGAGATCCACGACATGCTGAGCAACTGGCAGTGGGCATGGGAGAAGAAGAGCGGCAGCCGTCATGCGTTCCTCTACAACTTCAGGACAGGCAACTGCATTTACTACGATCTCGGAGCTTGAGCCTGTCCACCTTAGCATTGCTGGAAAGTCTGGAAAGAGCCTGTGTTGGCCTAGATAGGAAGCAAAATGAACAGGTCATGATCTTGAATGGGTGCAGTTGCATTACTGGCTACTGCATGCAACCTGTCATGTCAACCGTATGTGGGCAGAGTTTGCATCGCAGTAAGCAACGGTAGTACTGGAATTACACGGCCGAATGGCGCGACGTCGGTACGTACTACCTTGATGACCTCCGTTTTTTGCGAAGGGCGGCCTCTCCGACAGGCCAACTCTCAGAGGACCGGACCGGGTCTCAAGGCCGGCCAGTACTGGATACAAGGCGGAGCTGGTGCGCCTGGCATCTCACAGCGGAAGCGAAGCACTGGGACAAGGTACCCCGGTACCTGCCCGCCGAGTCCCCGTGCGAGACAAGTCATCAGAGCGAGCCCAGCCTGGCACGCGCCTGGGGTGGACGAGAGCCGGTGGCGCCGCAAGGCAGGCGCCCCCTGGTTGGTTCCCCTCGTCTCCTTGGCTGCCCACCAGAAGGGTCCCGACCCAGAGGCCCTCCCCATCCGTCACTTTCCTTTGAGGCGAATCCGAGACAGACCCAACCACGAGCTGATGCCTCCTGACTCTTCGGCACGAAGTCGCATCTAGTGCCTACCGGCATCTCCAAGATTTCCAGACCGCCTTGAATCGATCAAAACTTGACTCCTTTCATACCTTCTCCACGCTCGTCTCTTTCCTCTCTCTTCAACCCCTGACAACCCCTCTCGGCTACTTTCACCCCGCCTGCGACTAACGAACCTACACCACGACACAGACAACAAGCGATTCTGCGACGAACCATCCGTTGGATATCTTCGTCTGACTGGTGATCAACGAAGCCATCCGTCCCCCCGTCAGCCCTCAGGCGAACATCTTGGAAGCGTTCGGAAAAGCGATTGCAAAGTGTAGACAGTCACACCCTTCTCCCTGCCTCGAGCCCCGGTCGTCATCCAATCCCGGATCCGGCACTTCTACTTTTCGGGGACCTTCTTCTACCTACGGTTTGCACAACATGGCGCAGAAGCGTCTCATGAGTGAGCTGCAGACGCTGCAGAAGGAGAAATGGGTGTATATCGACGTGAGTTTTCACAAGCAACTTGATCGGTTCTTCAATATTGACGGTGGTTCCAACAGGTCGATGAGCAGAACGTTTTGAAATGGAAGATCGGTCTCATGGTCGTGAACCCGGACAGTGTCTTCAATGGCGCATACCTCAAGGTGAGCAGGTTCCGCCGTTTCTTTTGGCCACGATACAATGAACTGACCCCTGTTTCCAGGCCGCCATGACCTTCACCTCCGAATACCCCTACCAGCCCCCGACCTTCCAGTTTCAGACCAAGAACATTGTCCACCCGAACGTCTACTTCGACGGCAAGCTGTGTATTTCCATCCTCCACAAGCCAGGGGAGGATGAACAATCAGGTGAACAAGCTTGCGAGCGTTGGTCACCCCTGCAAGGTGTCGAGTCCGTCTTGCGATCTGTCCTGCTGCTTCTCGATGACCCGGAAATCAACTCGCCCGCGAACGTTGATGCTGGAGTTCTGTACCGCGACAATCGCGAAGAATACAACAAGAGGGCTTCCGAGACGGTAGAGACGTCCAGGAAGGACATACCTGAGGGCGTCAAGTTCCCTACAACCGCTGACCTGGAGCCTGTGCCGCAAAAGCCCGTGGACGACGATGCATTCTGGAATGAGACAGATGACGAGGGCGACTTTGACCTGGGTGGCAGCGACAGTGACTTTGAGATGGACGAATACAACGAGGACGAAGAAGATGACGACGCCGACGATAGTAGCAACACGGCTGCCGGGAAGAAGGATAACACAAAGGCCTGAAGCTAAGCCGTGTCACTTAGACCGCGCCCGAGGTGGTCGATGTAGTGAGCGGGGCGTTGCTCACTTCACGTTTGGGTTTGCTTTTTTTTGGACTTCCAGCGAAGGACTTATGCATAGCGACGGTCCATGGCGTTGAGAGGTAGTTTTTTGAGGCCGGTGGCTTGTGTCAGGACAGGGGCATCACCGACAGGATCTCATTATTGGATTCTGGTGGGCGGCCAGGGATGTTGGTGGCCCAGGCATCGTCGTGAATAGAGTACCGCAAACGGGTGCTTGTTAGAGCAGCCAATATATGCCTTCCAGCGTACTACTCAAGCAGTAGACCATCTCGGTAGAGTGATCATGCAAGATGAATGCAGCGTCGAGGCAGAAATGGCACAAGGAGAAATGCTTCAGCCCTGCGCGTAAGGGCTTGACATGCACATACCATTGTCCAGGACGCTATTTTCCAAGAACGATGTGACAGAAATGAAGGTTCGGCAACCCAGGCGCTACGCTGATCAGTGATGGCTGTGCCAGAATCATCGGCGGGCCCCTACGTAATCGTTGGAGGCACAGGTGGTACAGCACACGGCCAGGCTGTCAAGGTGTCCCGGCGCTAGTGCATGTTAGCCATGCAGCTCTCGCCTCAACAGCATCAACCAAGCCACAGCATTCAGCACTCAGAGCTTCACCTTCGTCTCCATCTGCCTTTCCCTCCGACGACCCTCCGTTCGTCTCTTGCTCCGGCTGGCCCACGTCTATTTCTTGCACCTAATCCCTCTCGAGCCGACTCCTCTTGCATTCGCACCTCCCGATCGCTCGAATACCTTGACGGTGCTGACCGTCACTTGGCGTGGAGCCTCCAGCCAACCGCCGCCTGTTCTTGTCTCGACGATGCGTAGTACGACACACCTTGCCACCCCATAGGAAGCCCACTTGAGGGCACCATTACGACCGGGAATACAGAGGGAGGCGTGAAAATAAGTTCGCCGGAGCAATGGCGCCAGAACCTTCCGACGAGGATGTCTCCAACCTCTGCGCCATCGCCGATATTAGCGAAGCGCAATATGGCAAGGTCGTGTTAAATGCGCTGCGGGTGCGTCTCAAAACTTGGCTTCGTCCGAAGAGTCTCCCATTTCCTGACGCTTCGCACAGAATAGCAGCAACAACCAGAATCAGGTCATGATGGAGATCTTTGACGACTTGGAGGCCGTACGTAGACCGCCCTCATACTTTTGTTTGTCCGTTTCGGGCGCTAAAGAGGTGATGCATAGTTTGTCAGGAAAAACACGTGGGATGAATCTGCATTTGGCGCGAGTCGCGAGGGCGAGACCAATAGCGCTGGTATTGGTTCGTACAGCCATGTCGCTGATCGGTTGGACGAGGCACTGACGATGTGGTAGCTTTCAACGTCGACGCACCCGATAATGCTGTCATCCAGGGCGTCACGCCGCCCCCCGAATCGAGCTACTGGCCCGGCAGCGGAGCTCCCTCGCGACCTCCTTCGAGAACGAACAACAAGTCGCCGCTTGGTAGGATGATTGATTGGACTGTCGGGGATCCAACCGGTACTGGACCTCGTTCGTCGCGAGGACGCGTTGGGCTGACGAGTTGCAGGACCAAATAGCTCCGCTCAGGAGGACGAAGACCTACAACGAGCCCTCGCCGAGTCGGCGAGAGAGTCGGGTGTCGCACCGCAAGAAAACGGAATCATGGACGGCATCACCCCGACATCTACAGCACACTTCGGTCCAGCGAACCGCAACGACTATGATCCGAGCAACTGGGCTATGGTTCCTGCAGGTCCAGCTACGCGCACCCGATCAGCGCTAGATCCTGTACCATCAAAGAGGCAAAGAGCATCAGAAGCTCCTGCGTTTTTAGTGCAACAACCAAATGCGCGGAACGCGGGTCACCGTCTGGGTGCGATCTTATCCATCTTTCACGAGATCCCGCTCTCTCGAAATGTCCTGTTGCAGACTGGGCGCCCGGCAGAGAACTACGGTCACAACAAGGAGTGGTGGAAAGGCCAGGCCATCTACCCCGCTCACCTGGCGGCAGCAATGAATCAGGGCCAACCGGTGCCCGACGACGCCAAGCCAGACTTCAACGAGGAAATTCACCGTCTAATGGCTTTTCTCGACGCGACGGATCGCAGTTACGGGTCGGTCGAAGTAATGGCGGACCTTCTCGATGGAACCCATGCCGGGCGCGAGAGGCAATTCTTCGACGTTCTCAACGAAAGCAACGACCCGGATGTCCTAAAGCCTCTCATGCATGATGCACTGAGCATGCTCGTCAATACTTATGAGGTTGTCGAGAGCGTCGACAGATTCTCGTTCCTTGACTTTGAGCTTAGTGCACATCAGTGGTCGCAAGTCGAGAGCTTCTATGATGTGTGGGATTGCTTGGCTTGGGACGAGTCCATGACATGGCAAGAGATTAAAGACGACACAAAGATGACCGTCTTCAGAGAAATGGGCGAGATCATGACGGTTTTGCTAGATGGGGACTGCCCTGATATCATTGACATACCCGAAGCCTGGTACCCCGAGCGATACTTAGAGGCAAGGAAGGAGGATGCACGGGCGATTCAGGAGCAGCTAGCCTGGGCACTCGCAAGGCTTTACGATGCTACGGCGGTGGAGCACGAGTACAAGAACTGGGACGACCCGGTGACGCACAAACAGCACGACAGGCGCGAACTCCTGGTGCAGGCTGTTGAACAATACGAAAGCTTCGTCAAGTACCTCACCGGTCTGGTGGAGTTCGAGGATTTCGCACCACCAAACGAGGAGGTCAGCAAATTGCTTCAGCTTGACACGCTGCCACCGCTTGCAACAGAGAAGGAGAAGGACATGTTGGCCCAATGCGAGCAGGTGCTCATACGCTGTAAACACAAGCTCAGGGAGCTAGATGCCAACATGAACAGTACGTGCACACTGAAACATCATTCGTTCACTTACTTGCTGACATGATCACAGAACTGAATGCCGACCGCGATTACCTCAAACAATATCGACGGTATCTGAATACACTCCTCACAGACCCTGAGCCGGAGGACGGCGGAGAGCCCATTCCGTTTCACGGCAAGAAGTATCTTCTTCGGGGTGTGGCTACTGGGCGAGACATTATGTACATTTGTCGCAGAACTGAGCCTCAGTTGATCGACCTTGAAGAGACTACACAGCCTCTGGATCAGTGGTGGCGGCTCGCATACGTGGCGGGTGATGAACAACCAGTGCAAGCGGAGGTAAGCAGTATATTGCCTCGATGTCGGTATCAAGCGCTGACAAGTTCACAGAAGGTTGAGTTTAGTGTCGTGAAGGAAAAGATGCTGAAGGAGTCCAAAAACCCACTGCTGGTCTATGCAACAGAAGATGCGCTAAACACGCCACGAGTTTCCCTTTCGGACGAACTTCAGCGGTTTGTGCTGGCGGAAAACAAGATTTTCCGTCAGGAACTGAGCCACGAAGCAGACGAAGACAACGATGAGGACGTGCCGTTGATCAACCCAAACATCTCGCCTGTCTCGCCGTCCAAACGCAAGTACCGCGCAAACAGCGTCGACTCCATGGACACCAACCGGGCATCATTGGGCAACAGCGAAACGAACTCTAGAGCGGGGGACTTTGACGACATGGATGCTTTCGGTATGATCAGCGGCGGCATGGTCCACCACGCAGCGAACACGACAAGTTCAGCAGTACAGTCAGGAGGATATTCAGATCTGAAAGGGCTTAGCAACCAGAGTCAAGACCAACTATCAGCGACGCTTTCTCGCGAGTCAACGCATTCAGCAGCCAGCCAAAACACAGCGCCTGCACTATTCAGCCGCTCATCCACCGGCCAAACCCTGCAGGAGACAGTAGACGCAGGATCCATCGACCAGCCGATTGAACTCGAGGCGACGAACAACGAGATCAAGCTGCCCGAGATGCAGGAGCGCGGGGGCAGTGGATCTCTCTTTGGCAGTAGACATGCATCAGCGAGTTCAGCATCTGGCCGCCGTGACGCCGCGGCAGAGGCCATGGATGTGGATGCGTCGTTCTCTAGGCAGCTTGACTAGGTATTCAGTGAAAGGAGGTCTGTCAAGGGGAGAGATCTGTCAAGAAGCAGGCTCAGCCTGCGGAAGAAGATGAATGGATGGCTTGACCATCTTGTCGATGGCTACAGAAAGGGGTAGACTTGAAGCGGGGAGTTAGTTGCCGGGGTGGGTTAGGACAAAGCATGGCAAAGCGAAGGGGCGCCTTTGTGTATCAGGTTCCAGTAGTCAGCCAGTCAGGAGAGAGCATGTTCCTCAGGAACACACCAACATGAAGCTATGAGAATCATTCGAATTGAATACGATGAAAAGGGGGGCTGAATTCTCGTGATGTTGCCAGATGGAGATGGCAGTATGTCGAAGGTTCTAGAAGGTTCCATGTCCGGAAGCGGTGGGTGGTGATGTCACATTTGGGCCCCGGCCGTGAGACCTTGACCTCACAGCTCGTGCGAGTGGGTTGTAGGAGCATTGACAGGAACATGTTGGAAACTTGAAATGACTTCTTCAACATCACGCGACTTCTTCTTTCTACACTATATCTTTTGTGCGCCGATTTTTTCAGTCCTGAACTCGCCGTAGTTTGTTAGAACAATTGACATCGAAATACACACAATCAAGACGACCAAGTCTAGCTTGCACCACTATCACAGCAAGCAAGTAACTGGACGTAGACGCTAAGCCCCACCAATTGGGCAGCTGCTCTACAACCCAAAGCGACGAGGCACACATTCGCCTTACTTTTGACAACCGGACACACCATAATTTTCATACTTCAGCCTGGTGGTCACCTTCACTGTCTCCTCCTGTATCTTCTCCTTCCATCTTTGCTGTTGCTCGGCAGCACAGTAGAAGCAGGATCAACTCGGCACACCGACAAGGCCTGCCCCGCATCAATACCACCATCCATCCACCATTGCCAGTAAGCCTTTAGAGGCACACACCGACGCGATGGTAAAAGAGACGAAACTCTACGATCAGCTGGGCGTCAAGCCCGAGGCTACACAGGAAGAAATAAAAAAGGGCTACCGGTAGGTTCTTCCTCTCTCGTGAATCATCTGATCTCCATCATTTCCAAGGTACACAAGCTAACAACCCCGCTACAGCAAGGCAGCTCTCAAGTGGCACCCCGACAAGAACAAAGACAACCCCAACGCAAGCGAAAAGTTCAAGGAGTGCTCCCAGGCCTACGAGATCCTCTCCGACCCCGAGAAGCGCAAAACCTATGACCAATACGGGCTCGAGTTCCTCCTCCACGGCGCCCCGCCCCCGGACGCCAGCGGCGGGCCCGGCAACGCCAACCCCTTTGCCGCTGGCGGCATGCCTGGCGGTTTCAACTTTGGCAACACCGGCGGCGGTGGCAACACACGCTCCTTCCGCTTCAGCACCGGTGGCGGTGGCGGCGGCGCGCCGGGCTTCAACTTTAGCAGCGCCGATGATATTTTTGCCGAGTTCATGCGGCAGAGCGGCGGCGGCGGCGGCGGCGGAGACGACATTTTCTCCACGTTTGGCGCGGCACGCGGCGGTCGATCGCGGGTGCGGCACTCGTCGAGCGGCTTTGATGACTTCTCGCCGCCCAAGAGGCGGGAGGCCACGCCCGAGGTGACGACGGTTGAGAGGGCGCTGCCGCTGACCTTGGAGGAGCTCTTCAGGGGTGTGACGAAGAAGATGAAGATCAAGCGCAAGCTGTTTGACGAGAGCGGGAAGAGGACGACGACGGACACGGTGCTCGAGGTGCCGATCAAGGCCGGTCTGAAGAAGGGTAGCAAGATCAAGTTCAAGGGGGTCGGTGATCAGGAGGAAGGAGGCCAGCAAGATCTGCACTTCATCTTGGAAGAGGTACGTGTTATCAACCTCCCTTGTGAGAACATTCGCATAGATGCAGAAACTAACGGTGACTCGCAGAAACAACACCCTCTGTTCGTCCGCGAGGGCGATGACCTCGTCCACACGGTTGATCTAGACCTCAAGGAGGCTCTGACGGGATGGAAGCGAACCGTTGCCACGATCGATGGCAAGCAGATCAACCTCGACAAGGCCGGCCCGACGCAGCCTGGCAGCTCAGAGCGGTACCCCGGACTGGGCATGCCCGTGTCGAAAAAGCCGGGCACGCGGGGCGACTTTGTCATAAAGTACAACGTCAAGTTCCCGTCGAGTCTTACAGCGGCGCAGAAGCAGAAGCTTAGGGAAGTTTTATAAGCGAGCGAGTGAGCGGCTTAGGAGATGCGGACTATGGACTGGCTTTTTTTTTTCATGAATCCCTTTTTTTATTACGATTCGGTGTTTTGGGCGTATCAAGGGGTTTCAGTGGCTGAGGAGCTTAGGAGATGAGCCCCAGAGGTTTTTGTTAATAATGAACACGATGTTTGCACTTTACAAGAGATACCAAGACCGAGATTGCCGTTCAACAAAATCATGATTTTGCCTCAGATCAAGCTCATACTGGATAAATATGACGTGAAATCTCATTGGAGATGTGCCGTATCAATGTCAACGCGGCTACGGCAAGGACCCGCGAGTCCCCGCACCCGAGATGAGTGACAAACAAATACGGCATGCCCTGTCCAGTGCGGCCTTTTACATGAGTGTGCGTAGCTGCGGGCGGCTGCGTGCAAGGGGGCCAAGGGATACAAGGAAGTGGGACGACATGGAGGGCGAGGCAAGACGCAAAACATCAGACGTTGCGCCGCAGCGCAGGAAATCTCGGCGGGGACTGGTCTTGTTCGGGTGCGGGGCGTTGAGGCCGCGGGCGGGCGGATTCTGCTGCAGCGCAACACAGGTACGATGTACGGTGCCGGAAGCGCTCGTCTGCATTAGGTTTCGAGGTGTGAAGAGGGCCGAATGCTGCATGCGCTTCCATGAACATCCCGAGACTCGGCATCGACTTCCAGGGTCTGTCTGTCGACAGGCAGCACAAGGGTACAGTTTGGCCCCCAGTCGCGACACGGGCCACAACGACGACAACGAGGCTGCACATGGATGCGCAACGGCTCGTGAAACGGCGGACGGGAGAGAGAGGCCGAGCATGCCTCTTGCCCCGGGCGACAATTGCACAGAAAAAGACGCGTCGTTTGTCGGATGGAGGGGCACATTGGCCCATGACGACATTGTACAGGGATGGGCGCACTGTATTGGGCGCAACAGCGGGGTAATTCTGAGGTGCACCTCCTCCGTGCCCCTCGGTGCCTTCCCCCCTCTTTCCTCGTTGCTCGCGTACCTTGAGTACCTATGCCGGCTCGCTCTTTGCAGTGGACACACGGCGGCGTGTTGGGGCTACAATGAGGGGTTAATTCGCGTCTCTTCAGTGGCAGGATTGCACCCGCCTCGGGAGCAACAGGCAGCCAGGGCGCTCAGGGCGTCCCGGGCAACCACCATTGGTGATGGGGCAGGCAGGGCAGCAGCAACCGTGACGGGTCGAGATCCCGTCTTGGTCTTGGTGCTCATGTCGCTTTCGATCTGCATCTGGTGCTCTCGATGCCTGGCTCTGGCTTGTTGGTCTAGGTACTCGAGGCGTATCTTGGGCTGACCACCATTCTGGTCTACCTTTTCCTGATCGATCCCACTTCTGCTCTTAACCCGAACACTGTCCACTTTTCAAGCTTCCCCTTGCTCTGCTGTTGGCTCGTCCTTCATTCTCCCTTCACTTGCTAGCCATTTCCACTGCCTGTTCACCCTGATCCGCGTTCATCGGCTTTTCTAGACTCGACCGTAGCTCGTGGACCTTACCCAAACACCCAATCCGACGACCTCTATCTACCGCCATCATGTCTCAGGTATGTCACTTCGCCTCCTCCATCTCACCTCATAGGCACAGCTTCCTCCTGACATCAATGCCCAGATCACGACTCTTCTGTTCGACTGCGACAACACGCTCGTCCTCTCTGAGGAGCTCGCCTTTGAGGCCTGCGCAGAGCTCATCAACGAGATCTGCGAGAAGCACAAGATTGACCAGCGCTTCACCGGCGAGTCCTTGATCAAGGAGTTCGTCGGCCAGAACTTCCGCGGCATGATGCTCGGCCTCCAGAAGCTCTACAACTTCACCATGGAGCAGGAGGAGCTCGAGACATATGTCCGCCGCGAAGAGGATGCCGTCATCGCTAAGCTCAAGGCCTCTCTCGTCGCCTGCCCCGGCGTTGACGAGCAGCTCGAGGCCCTCCAGGCCGGCGGCAAGTACAAGCTCTCCGTTGTCTCGTCCTCCGCCAAGCGCCGTGTCTGGGCCTCCGTTGTCAAGGTCGGCCAGGACAAGTTCTTCAAGGAGGAAGAGGTCTACTCTGCCGCCACGTCGCTCCCCACACCCACCTCCAAGCCCGACCCTGCCATCTACCTGCACGCCCTTGACAAGCTCGGCAAGACGGCCGCTGAATCGGTCGCCATTGAGGACTCCAAGAGCGGCACCCTCAGCGGCACCCGCGCCGGCATCAAGGTCATTGGCTACGTCGGTCCTTATCCCGCCGATAGGCAGTCCGAGATGGAGAAGGTCCTGCGCGACGCTGGCGCCGTCGTCATCATGAAGGACTGGCAAGAGTTCCCCGACATCCTGGCCAAGCTGTAAGAGTCTGACGGGGATATGTGTGGGAGTGCGGAATGCCCTGTCGTCTTAATGAACACGACGACGAGGTGTGTGTAATGGTCAACAGCGATACAGGGTGCATTCAACAGCTGGCATAGGCCACGAACAAGAAGAAGATGGATAGAATGCAGCTTCATCTCCTATAGTCCATCAAAAAACTGTTAACACTCTGCAGCGATGCCCGGCCCGGGTTGGCCTCGGGATATGCCGTCATGATGCTTCCCAGCCGATTACGAACCATGTCCTTGTTGAAAATGGTCTTGGTGTCGGGTGCTCGGTAGTTGTCTTGTTGGTCAAAGCACCAGAGGCAGATGGCGAGGGCCACAGCCACAGATAAGTCCTTGCCGGTCTCGCACGCCACCAAGACGGTCGTACCCTCGGCGAGGGAGCCATCCTCTTTCTTTTGTGACTCGAGAAACCGCGTGACAAAGCCGCAAATATCAGGCAACGCCGTCCT